AACGAATATATACAAAAAACTCCGGGCAAAGTGGAGATTTTTGAAAACTCCGTTAATGCATTTGTGTGTAGACAGAGATAACCAGAGTTTTGCGTTCTCGCACGCCACAGTACCCCCCTAAATTCCTCTGATCACTGAAGCATGGATCATACTACCTTAAAAACTGTCCGCTGTGAGATGCTCGCAGCAGCGAACATCCTCGCTCCACATCAGAGAGCAGCAAAGTGATCGCGGGGACTCACGCTCGAAAACAACCAAACCAGGACTAAACCAGGACTAAACCAGGACTAAATCAGGGCTGAGGACGGGGTCAGTGCTTGTAAACATACGTCTTAATCTTTACTCTGAGTGTCTTCTATGACTGTAAAAGTGCCGTTACCGGCGTCTGCATCAAAGCTCCGCCCACTTCTGTGTTTTTCCCCAAAGCAGGACAGGACGTAAGAGACGCACATGTTTGGAATGTTACGAATGTGATTGATAACGCAGATGTGTGGATGCAAATTATTTTATAAACTGAGGAGGGGAAATATTTGGATTTTAAAAAAAAACAGGCATGGCACATGGACATGGCACCACAGTCAAATGACATCTGTGTTTTACTCAGTAATGTTTTACTGACACTTAGGTGACTGCACATGCGCAAACAACCGCGCTCAGTGCAGGAAAGCTAAACCACGACAAACTTGTCAGCGAGTTACCACCAATTTTCCGGACTATGCATCCCTGGCCGATTCAATTCAGTGCAAGTCATAAGAGTAAACTCGGGTAATGACAAAAAATGTACATCGGTAATTGTGTTGTGTTGTGCTATATTGGCTCATGCGGTTTTTCATGTACATAAACATACATTGTAGATATAAAGAATATTTTTTGAAATATATGATTTGCATTTTTGTAGTAGGTAGATCATTTTGACTTGATCCTTTTATAAGTAGCTCGCATGCTGAAAAAGTGTGAGCACCCCTGCTTTAGATAGTCAGGACGGATCTCATCCACTCCCGGCGCCTTGCCACCATGGAGGCTGCCAACCACCTTGGTGACCTCGGCCAGGGAGATGGAAGTATCCGCCCCAACATCCTCAGCCTCTGCCTCCTGGACGGGGGACGTGACGGGGGGATTGAGGAGAACCTCGAAGTATTCCTTCCACCGCCCGACAATATCCCCAGTCGAGGTCAGCAGCCCTCCACCCGCACCATACACGGTGTTGGCAAAGAACTGCTTCCCCCTCCTGAGGCGCCGGACGGTTTGCCAGAACCTCTTCGAGGCCGACCGATAGTCATGCTCCATGGACTCTCCGAACTCCTCCCAGTCCCGGGTTTTTGCCTCTGCAACAGCCCGGGCCGCGGCACGTTTGGCCTGCCGGTACTGGACAGCTGCCTCAGGAGTCCCACGAACCATCATTGCTCGATAGGACTCCTTCTTCAGCCTGACGGCATCCCTTACTGCCGGTGTCCACCACCGGGTTCGGGGATTGCCGCCGGGACCAGCACCAGAGACCTTGCGACCACAGCTACGAGCCGCCGCATTGGCGATAGAGGAAGAGAACATGGTCCACTCGGACTCGATGTCCCCCTCCTCTGCCGGGACCTGGGAGAAGCTCTCCCGGAGGTGTGAGTTGAAAGTCCGTCTGACAGGGGGCTCAGCGAGACGTTCCCAGCAAACCCTCACTACACGCTTGGGCCTGCCAGGTCTGACCGGCCTCCTGCCCTGCCAGCGGATCCAACTCACGACCAGGTGATGATCGGTTGACAGCTCCGCCCCTCTCTTCACCCGAGTGTCCGAGACACGCGGTCGAAGGTCAGATGATACGACTACAAAGTCGATCATCGACCTCCGGCCTAGGGTGTCCTGGTGCCACGTGCACTGATGGACACCCTTGTGCTCGAACATGGTGTTCGTGATGGACAGGCCGTGACTGGCACAGAAGTCCAACAACTGAACACCGCTCGGGTTCAGATCAGGGGGGCCGCTCTTCCCGATCACCCCTCTCCAAGTGTCACTGGCATTTCCCACATGGGCGTTGAAGTCCCCCAGGAGAATAACGGAGTCCCCGGGCGGTGCACTGTCCAGTACCCCTCCCAAGGACTCCAAGAAGGCCGGGTACTCTGCACTACCGTTAGGCCCGTAGGCCGTCACAACAGTGAGAGACTTGTCCCCCACCCGGAGGCGGAGGGACGCGACCCTCTCATTCACCGGGGAGAACTCCATCACGTGGCGGCTGAGATGGGGGGCAATGAGTATGGCCACCCCAGCTCGCCGCCTCTCCCCGCGGGAAACACCAGAAAAGTGGAGCGTCCAACCCCTCTCAAGGAGTTGGGTTCCAGAGCCCAAGCTGTGTGTGGAGGTGAGGCCGACTATCTCTAGTCGGTATCGCTCAACCTCCCCCACAAGCTCGGGCTCCTTCCCCCCCAGTGAGGTGACGTTCCACGTCCCAAGAGCCAGATGTTGGGTGTGTGGACTGGGTCGTCGAGGTCTCCGCCTTCGACTGCTGCCCAGTCCTCTCTGCACCTCGCCACCACGGACCCCTCTGCAGGTGGTGAGCCCACAGGAGGGACTGCCCACGTCATCCCTTCGGGCTGAGCCCGGCCGGGCCCCGTGGGCTAAGGCCCGGCCACCAGGCGCTCGCTTGCGAGCCCCGACCCCAGGCCTGGCTCCAGGGTGGGGCCCCGGCTGCGCCATGCCGGGCGACGTCACGGTTTTTGTTGTCGTGCTGTCCATGGTTGGCTTCGGACTGCGCTTCGTCTGACTCGTCACTTGAGACCTGTCTGCCATGGGAGACCCTACCAGGGGCATGAAGCCCCAGACAGCATAGCTCCCAGGATCATCCGAGTGCTCAAACTCCCCCACCACGTTAAGGTGGCAGTCCAAGGGGGGAGTGGCAGTCCAAGGGGGGATTTATGTATTTATGTAAATAAATACATAAATAAATACATGAAAAATAAACAATAAATAAAGAATACTAGGTGCCCTCTTGTGCCCTCATATACTCCTGTAAATACTGTACTTACTCTAACAGCTGCATTACTGCCCATCTCTGTAGATTACACTGTGTTTTTCAATGTGCATCCTAATATCCCGCCTGTTGGAAGGTGATAAAGTATTTTTATGCCACCAGTGTGAGGGATATCGCTGCTCAACACATTATGGCTTTATTTATAAACCTCTTTGCATATTTAGTCTTCCACACTGGAGTTCAGCGCCATCTCACACGGCTGACAACCGGAAGACTGTAAGACTGAAGGTATTAGCCGCAGCACCCCTTTCTCCACAAGTGATTTTATGGGCATTTTAACATGTCACATCATCATAAGCCTGTTTATCTCACACACACACACACACACACGCACACATACACACACAAACACACACACACACACACACACACACACACACACACACACACACACACACACGCACACATACACACACAAACACACACACACACACACACACACACACACACACACACACACACACACACACACACACACACACACACACACACACACACACACACACACACACACACACATAGCTTGATGCCATATCTGGAATTCAATTACATTTCGAGCACATTTTCCTACAGACTGCACGTCCAAACTCAGGCCCGGGGGCTAATTCCGGCCCTCTGTGTCATGCTACGTGGCCCTCTGCCCACTGCTAACTAGAAGTAGTCTTTGAGATCATAAACACAAGTTCACTGTGTCATCCATCCGACTTCAGCACAGCCCTGATAGACCTGTTGTACCTCGTTCTAAAGCCCAGCACGTCTGGAATTCATGAGTTTACTTTATTTATACATGACGTTTTTTTCTTGACGTGGTTTTTGATTGTGTCATAAATTTTCGTCAATGGTGCTAATGTAGCTGGTGAGATGGTAAACATGTGTCATTCAGCCAACTTCAGCATTGTTTTAGATCATCATAAAGCTCAGAACAGCCCGTTGCTATTTCTGAGCAATGGGCTCCTGGACTAGTCTGGTGAACTACAGTTGCCCTCTGACTCAAATGTTTGGACACCCCTGATTTAAAGCAACACTTTACACTTGTAAATTAAGGGAGAAACTCAGCAAGATAGAATATTGTTCATTTATTTAAGTTTTTCCAACTTAAAATGTGAGACTGATGTGATTTACAGTGGACGAGGGGAGTTGCTCTGTCCTCCAAGGGCTGGTGTGGCTGCAAGTTTTTACTCCAACCAATCAGGAGCACACCAGACTCTACCCATTTCTTCAAGCGAGTCCAACCTGAAGACTCGAGGATATGGGTGGACTCTGCTCTGCTCCTGATTGGTTGGAGTCAAAACCTGCAGCCACACCGGCCCCTTCTGGAATCAGTTTGACAGACATTCATAATTTTAGTTTGTCAAAATGTTTTATTGGGCTCTTTTTCCAGCTGTCAGTCAATTATCAACATTATAACAACAAAGGCCTGATCTCACTCTGCATGGAATGAGCCCGTTATTTATTAGTTTCACATTGTAAGTTGAATTAGAGTGAATTGAATTTTCAAACCATACTTTAATCGTCACCTGTATTTCAGCTTTTTTCTTCTTGTAAAACTAAATATTTAGACAAAAATGACAGCATTTTTTTTGTTTTTTATCAAATGAATGAAACTAAAATTTCAGATGAATGCTTTATACTCAAGTACTCATAATGAAATTGAAATGGTCTAATGCAGGGGTATTCGACTGTTGTGGCTGCAGGTTTTCATTCCAACACAGCAGTCAGACACCCCTGGCCTATCGTGATAACTTGGCGGTTCTAAAATGAGGCCTTTATTTTTCAAAACATTGAAATCAGACAAAAATAGATCAATATATTCATTTTGTGTATATTTCTTTCATTGCCATAAAGTTGGTCATTGGGGATTTGATAATTACATTGTTTTTGTTATTGTAACGCTATGATTATCCTCCGTGTCATGATTTGTTTTGCTAATAACACAAAAACTTCAAGTGTGCCTCAAAGCTAATCTGGCCTCCGCTGACTTGCACTTATGGTTGCCGTGTGGTTGCCGTATGTGGCGTCCCTAATCCTGTTTAACCAGGTGACGCTGTGTAATGATCATAAACATTTGACATAATGGGAATGACGGCACTCCGCCTCACGTCAACACACACACGTCTTCGGTCCAAACGCTGACGCAGCAGAGTCTCAAACCCTCTCATGTTGTTTGCTCTGGATTTGAAGGTGTTTCGACACGGGGATCGCTCGCCCATTGAGTCCTACCCCAGAGACCCCCACGGGGAGGAGGTGTGGGGGCAGGGCTTCGGACAGCTCACTGAGGTAATGTGTGCTCAGGACATACACTGGCTACATCTCTCTCTCTGTGTCTCTCTCTCTCTCTGTCTCTCAGTCTCTGTAACTCGCTCTCAATCTACTGTATTGCTCAATCTATCCTTCTCTCTCTCTCTCTCTCTCTGTCTCTCTATCTATGTCTCTCTATGTCTGTCTCTCTCTCTCTATGTCTGTCTCTCTCTCGCTCTCTCTCTCTGTCTCTTTCTACCCTCTGTGTCTGTCTCATTCTCTATCTCTCTATATACTGTATCTCTCTCTTCTCTCTCTTAATCTATCTACTGTATCTCTCTCTCTCTCTCTCTCTCTCTCTCTATATCTATATATCTATATATCTATATATATAGATATATAGATATATATATATCTATATATTAAAAAAAATTGTCCACTCACCTTTGGCCCTCCGCGGGCGGTTATCCCTCTCTAAGCTCGGGTCCTCTACCAGAGGCCTGGGAGCTTGAGGGTTCTGCGCAGTATCTTTGCTGTTCCTAGCACTGCACATTTCTGGACCGAGATGTCAGAGGTTGTTCCGGGGATCCGCTGTAACCACTCATCTAGCTTCGGGGTCACTGCCCCGAGTGCACCGATCACCACGGGCACTACTGTCACCTTTACCCTCCAGGCCCTCTCCAGCTCCTCTCTGAGACCTTGGCATTTCTCAAGCTTTTCATGTTCTTTTTTCCGGATGTTACCATCGCTTGGAATTGCCACGTCCACCACCACGGCTGTCCTCTGCCCTTTGTCTACCACCACGATGTCAGGTGGTAGACAAAGGTATAGATATAATATATCTATATATATATATATATGTATATATATATATATATATATAATATATATATATATATATATATATATATATATATATATATATATATACTGAATCTCTCTCCATTCTCTCTCTCTCTATCTGTAATTCTTTATCTATACTCTCTCTATCCCTCGACTGTATCTCTCTCTCTCTCTCTTTGGAAATCTACACAATCTTTCACAAAACTGCAGTTGAATAGATTATTTGCAAAAACATAAAAGTACCTTTAGAACTTAGAACTTTTCAACAGTACTTTACAACGCCACATGTATCGTCCTGAGATCAGCATCATTCTAAACCTGCCCATTTTCTCATGATAAGCCCTGTTTCCACCAGCCCTACCCCACTATTTGATACTGTATCCTCGCAAAATAACCACAAAAAATCATTATCTGGGGAAATTCCTTAGCAACCATGGCTTTCAGCAGCACTCTGGTCAATCACTGCCAGAACACTTTAGAACCAGGACCAAGAGGGACTAAAGAAGGACCTGGTACTGATTAAACAGGGCCGGTGTTTTCCCCATGTCTGGACAGGTTTCCTCCAGGCGCTCCGGTTTCCCCTTCTACTAAACCCATGAACAATAGGTCATATCCTTTGGCTCTGATAGAAACCAAGACCATCAACAACTAGTGATGGGTCCTCCGCTGTACTCTCTGCCCAAAATGTCAAATAATATCTCACAGGGCTCTTTTGGACATGTATGTTAAAGTTTTCTCACAAAATGGAGACCGTGTTGCGACAAAAAATAAGTAAAATCAATGGGAAAAAAGGGGAACCCAGCTTTAATTGTACAACCAGTTCACTTTATACTGAACAAAAGCATCATTGACTCTAACTCTGGATCCTCATCACAATTATGACTTAAAAATAAAGGTGTGACTGACTTGTCTTGCAGCTGGGGATGAAGCAGCAGTTTGAGCTGGGCAGGTTTCTACGGAGGAGATACGGAAACTTTCTGAGCGACGACTTCAACAACAAAGAGGTACAGACCTGAGCGTTGTGTGGACTCGGGCCAGGGCTGAGGCTAGGACTGGGGCCAGGGCTGAGGCTAGGACAGGGGCCAGGGCTGGGGCCAGGGCTGAGGCTAGGACTGGGGCTAGGACTGGAGTTGGAGGGCTGGAGTTTGGGTTCAAAAGCTTATACGGTTTTAGGATTTTTCTACAGGATACAGTATATAATATAGGTGACAAACACAGTGATATTTTAGAAGTGAAAAAAGTTGACGGAAAGTGTGCAATAATTATTAAAACCAAATCTGGTGTGTGCATAGATTTAGGCACCCTTTAAAATTGTAGAGATTTAAATAACTTTAGCATTAATTATTGGAACAGGGGAATCCAATCATGAGAAAGGGTTTTTTAGTTGGCCATTTCTAAGTGTTTTCCCTCTTTATGCCGCTGATATCCTGTGGGTGGTTGGTGCTGGTGGGAGGGGCCAATGGCACAGACTGGTTGCCTCACTTCTGTCAGTGTGCCCCAGGGCAGCTGTGGTTTATTACCAGCGTGTACAGAATGAATGCACAGCAAAAAGTGATAAAATATTAGTGAAAATTTGCCAGTGGGACAAAGCAAAAATGATCTTGTTTTAAAAAGATTCCCATAAAGTCTCCCTTGGAATGAAAAAATAAAGCAACAGTTATTGAAATAAGACTGTCTTTGTCCCTTTGGAGAATCTTTGGAGAAACTTGTTTTAAGACGGTCAGAATTCGTCAGATTAAGATAAAAAACACTTGATTTAAGCATTTAATATCTCATATTTTATCATTAAATTATCAACAATCTGCATCTTAACTTACCTCATAATCATTTGTTAACCCTTAAAATCACATATTCTTTAGTCATTTCTGCCTTCAGTCGTGATGTGAATCTTCTTCACATGTATCGGTATCGGTTTGACGCCAGATCCAGCCGTCTGCTTTGTGTCTGCTCCTGGTTTGTTTACATGTGACAGAAGTGTGTCTAAAAATGAGTGAACCCTCACACTGGTTTAATGAGTCAGAGATATGGCGGCGCTGCTCAGAGATGTTTGAACAGACGCAGTAATGTGGCCCCTGGGCTTCGGTTTCACGCATGTTACAGCGACAGCAGGGGCCTCCACTGCCGTCAAACCAACAGCTCAATACAGGCTGCTCTGTGTCTTCTACTGCGGGCTTTTCACTGAGACCTCTCCGTCTGGGGCCTCCAGACCTCAGTACGAGACCTCATCTCAGTTCGAGACCTCATCTCAGTACGAGACCTCATCTCAGTACGAGACCTCATCTCAGTACGAGACCTCAGGCCACAGACACAAACACACATTTGCTGAATCAGGCTATTGTTGATTTGGATTCATGTAAAGGTTCTGTGGAGACAAAGTTTAGGTTCTGTACTGTGACAGTAGCACCGCTTCCACCAACTCTACTCTGCTCTCCCCTACCCTACTGTACTCTCCTCTACCCTACTGTACTCTCCCTTACCCTACTATACTCTCCTCTACCCTACTGCACTCTCCCATACCCTACTGTACTCTCCCCTACCCTACTGTACTCTCCCTTACTCTACTGCACTCTCCCCTACCCTACTGTACTCTCCCCTACCCTACTGTACTCTCCCCTACCCTACTGTACTCTCCCCTACCCTACTGTACTCTCCCTTACCCTACTGTACTCTCCTCTACCCTACTGTACTCTCCCTTACCCTACTGTACTCTCCTCTACCCTACTGCACTCTCCCCTACCCTACTGTACTCTCCCTTACCTACTGCACTCTCCCTTACCCTACCTGTACTCTCCCGTACCTACTGTACTCTCCCCTACCCTACTGTACTCTCCCCTACCCTACTGTACTCTCCCGTACCTACTGTACTCTCCCCTACCCTACTGTACTCTCCCGTACCTACTGTACTCTCCCCTACCTACTGCACTCTCCCCTACCCTACTGCACTCTCCCCATACCCTACTGCACTCTCCCCTACCCTACTGTTCTCTCCCCTACCCTACTGTACTCTCCCCTACCTACTGCACTCTCCCCTACCTACTGTACTCTCCCCTACCCTACTGTACTCTCCCCTACCCTACTGCACTCTCCCCTACCCTACCCTACTGCACTCTACCCTATCCTACTGCACTCTCCCCTACCCTACTGCACTCTCCCCTACCCTACTGTACTCTCCCCTACCCTACTGCACTCTCCCCTACCCTACTGCACTCTCCCCTACCCTACTCTACCCTACTGTCCTCTACTTTACTCTCTCCTCCCCTCCTCTCCTCCCCTCTCCTAGAGTTTAAACAGGGCCCAGTATAGAGAGGTTGAGCGTATAATTTTTAGCTGCATGCATTTAGGCGCGTCTTTGGGGTGAATATATTTCTGCTCGATTTGGTTTAATTAAAATAATCTCGTTAAGATAAAGAGTCATAAAAGCTCAGTCTCTGCACAAAGAAAGAATCCATTAACAATTACAGAATTACAGAACCCTCATCATTTCTATAACCCGTAAGTGAATGAGTGTTAGTCTAGACCGATCAAATGGAACTATTTATTGCTCATTAAAAGTCAGGAAACAAATCACATCATGTTGTTTTTATCCTGTAAAAAAAAGGCATTTGAGTCACTGTTTGACCCTCGATCAAGCTGTTTTGAGAGAAAGAAAGAAAGAAAGACATAGAAACCAGATGGATATAGATTTTTTTGTCTGGCACATTTTATAAAACACGTTGCCGAAGTGTAAAAAAAAATAACAAAAAGACAACATTTAGAGATGGACCTGAAGGTATTAGACACAAAATCATAAAACACAATTTCACAGAACAAAATATTAGACACAGATGTGCGTATACAAGGTAAGATTATTTGTATGGAACAGTTTGTACATAATGCAACTCAAAGGGCTGAACAAAACAAGATGGAGAGAATCGCACGGCATTAAGATAAAGAAAATAATAACAATACAAGAGTGAAGATGCAATCACTCAGTCCCCGTGCTCCCCAGGATCCCAGCGTGAGGCCAGTCCCTGTGCTCCTCAGAGTCCCAGCATGAGGCCAGTCCCTGTGCTCCTCAGAGTCCGAGTTGGGCCCTATAGCACTAACATGTCACATACTAGGCTTCTCTTACACAGCGTCTCCTCTGTCCATGTTATAGATAAATAACATAGACATAGACTCACAGTTGATCCAAGAATAAACGACAATAAAAGCAGGACGTTCTTTTAAAGCACCATCAAAGGCAAACACTTCCTTCCACACGACGCTCTGTACCTGTCGTTCACAATCCGTCAAGAAGTCTCACTCCGCTCGCGTGCCTCCCCCCTTCACACGTCTATTTAAATCTGACAAAGCTAGGGGACTAAAAAAGACGAATTTTTCGCATCACAAGAACATCCAACCTTATCAGCGTGAGTTAGCGAGCGCGGCGAGCTGACACGGCCCGGCAGACAGGAATAAATGAAGCAAGTCAGAAGTGTCACAAGCCATCACCACCCTCAGCAGCTGCGCCTCATGTTGGGGGAGTTACCTGCAGAAGACATGTTCATAGTAATGATGCTGCGGCTGCGCTGGAGCCGGGGACCGGCCACGATATGCAAATGCACCGCTCCTGGCTTTAGTCTTATGAAAACAAACTCAATGTGCCACTAGACAATAAGCAACTGTGCATTGAAAAGACGTGTGTGTGTGTGTTGTTGTGCTATGGCCTGGTTTCTCTGTGTCAGATCTGAGACGTAGAAACAGAATGGATTGTGTGGAACATACTCGTGGATTACATCATTTTGTTACTAATTATATGTTCGTTAACGGAGATAAAAGACAGCATTTGTACAGTTCCAGTCAGACAAGAGTCAGAAATAGACAAGTCTCTCCAGGGCCTCGCGTCAAAGTGCCAAAGTACTGTACATCTGTGACATGTTGGTCCCATATGAGCTGGGACTCTGAGGAGCACAGGGACTGGCCTCCTGCTGGGACTCTGAGGAGCACAGGGACTGGCCTCCTGCTGGGACTCTGAGGAGCACAGGGACTGGCCTCCTGCTGGGACTCTGAGGAGCACAGGGACTGGCCTCCTGCTGGGACTCTGAGGAGCACAGGGACTGGCCTCCTGCTGGGACTCTGAGGAGCACAGGGACTGGCCTCCTGCTGGTACCCAGAGTCAGGACTAAACTTGCAAAAATCTAAAACCTGGAACAGTCTTCCTGAAAATGTGAGACAGGCTTCTTCACTGACAATGTTCAAAATCAGGTTTAATATTGACGGTGATGAAACTACTGTAAACATATTTTAATGGAAATGTATAAAGTGAACTCTACTTTTTTAAATGTTTTACCATGTTCCATCATTGTTCTAGACGTGAAGTTATTTCAGATTCAGATTCATTTCATTTGCCATTTGCAGTAAAACCACCCTGGAATACATTAGCAAGAGTCCCCAGTCTGCACAGGACAAGTACATACATAAAACAACATTAAAAGTACAGAAATAAAACAAAGAAAACAGCAAACAAATGTCACTGTGAAAACGATCGGTTATTTTTAGATCCATACAAACATGTAGCTCCGCCCCTTCTGTATAAAAACTTTCGTCTCAGCCCTGTGACAGTATGATGTCATTGTACCACTATGACATCACACTTAGAGCTGTTTTCTGCCCTTTAAAACTATAATATTGCTCATTATTAGTTTTGGCAATTTCTCAAATGAAATTACTCATGTTTGTCCAGCTCAGAAATTTAATGCATTTAGACTCAAATCAGTAACATCAGCAGCTTTTCACCATCTGAAAAAAAACATTGCAGAATCAAGATGACAGTGGTTAGAGCAGACCTGGAGATTCCTGTCCATGCATTTGTCTCCAGTAGGTTAGATTTCTGCGACCGTCTGCTTCCTGGAGGCTAGCAATCTGTATTCAACACAAATCTGTATTTAAATTATGCTAAATTCTGTGCTGACTCCACTGCAGCGACGTAATGAAGTGAGACAGGGTGAAGTGTCTTGCCCAAGGACACGACAGTATTCATCTGTGGGGAATGGAATCACACCTGCCACCCAACCAACGCTTTCTGTTTTGATGGATGGTTATGTGTATGTGGAGTGGCAGCGGTGGGCGACCTCTGACCTCTCGCTGCACGTCTCTGGCTCTTCCCTTATGAGCGTTTCTCTTCCCTAACTCCTTCTTCCTTCTCTCCGGACGATTTTACCAGATCTACGTGAGGAGCACGGATTACGATCGGACCCTGATGAGCGCTCAGTCCTGTCTGGCCGGGATGTTTCCTCCGACCAGACGCCCCCCTCCCATCGCGCCCCAGTTACCGTGGAGACCCATCCCAGTGCACACGGTCCCCCGCGCCAACGACAAGGTCAGCACGAAAACCCTACACACAGACGGGCTTCACGGAGCACTTTACAGCTCCTTATTCTGTTTCTGTCACGTGAGCTAAGAAGACAACACTGGATTCTACACTTTCACTTTGCTTTTGGAGAGAAAATATGCTTTTTGGAGGTTCCTTTTTATGTCTAACATCTCGTACACATAAACTGTAAACATTAACGGACGTAGTGACGCCTATCTCCGTCGTTCAAACTAATGTGCCACCACTTTTGCCTTCTTTGTTTTTTTTTTTCTTCAAAATGGCCGCAGGTCAGGAAAATGTAATGAGTGCATTCAAAAGTCTATAGCAACTAGACAAGTCTGGTCCAAAAACTATAGATAAAATACTCCCCTCATAATTGACAAACATGTGGAACGTACTGTTGGGCCAAGAGACAACTTTTGGATCATCCTGCAAAGCCGATTTTTAGAGGCAAGAAGACGCCATACAAAAGCATTGGGTAATTCTCTTTCCGGGTACACCCCCACCAGCCCGAAATGGTATGGCAAGAATCTCAGGAAGCGTGCTCTCGGCTGCGCTTACGGTGTTTGCGAGCCGTAGTATTGGTCTAAACGGTGTGGTTAAAAAAAGCAGGTTAATTATAATTATAATTATAAAGGTTTATCTTATCTTAATTGACTAATGGCTGATACAATATGTTATTTATTTGTCCATCGTTTTCTGGTGGAAAGTGAGTTAAAGGTGGAGTAAAAGATAATTTAATCTCAAACAATGACATAGAAAAAAACTTCATAGAGGGACCAAGAATGCACATGAGATGAGTTTTTTTACACTTAAATCTGTCAAATTGACTGCTGTGGGAGTTCTAGTGTTGCTTAATATTAAAATGTGTATTGTTGTGTTTCAGCTGCTGAGGTCTCCTGGAAAAGACTGTCCACATTTCCGCTCTTTGATGACAGAGACTTTTGAGAGTTCACCGTACCAGAAGTTCCTCAGGGCTCACCAGGTTCCACAACACACAACACCACAACACCACAACACCACACACAATATACGTGGAGATTCCTGAGCACAGAGAGAGTTCAGAGTTGGTGGTGGCGACTGTGTTACTTCTTACTCGCACTAATTAACAGTCAGATGGATTTAGACCAAGAATTACAATCATTTTAATTAAACTTGGTCCCATATGTGGCCCATAGAGCCAAAGGTGTTGAGTTCTAACACTTCCTGGTTCCTCCTTCACTGCCAATAAAGTTATTCCAGACTCAATTACTACAAGAAATACTTCTGTTTTTATCTTGCAGTATTTTGTGGAGGGTCTGGCCAACCACACTGGGTATCCTGTGTCCAAACTGATCGGCAAGAAAATATGGAGAGTCTATGACACACTGAACTGCCAGGTAATTTACACTCTGCATCTTTTTGTTTTGTTTAGCACAGTTCATACATAAGGAAACTTAACCAGAGAAATTACACAAGGAATTCAAATAAAAAATAATCACAGTACATTAAAAAGAGTAAAGATACAATCCATCCAATCCAATGTTTAGTCCTGACTCTGGGACCAGCAGGAGGCCAGTCCCTGTGCTCCTCCGAGTCCAAGCAGGAGGCCAGTCCCTGTGCTCCTCCGAGTCCCAGCAGGAGGCCAGTCCCTGTGCTCCTCCGAGTCCCAGCAGGAGGCCAGTCCCTGTGCTCCTCAGAGTCCAAGCAGGAGGCCAGTCCCTGTGCTCCTCCGAGTCCCAGCAGGAGGCCAGTCCCTGTGCTCCTCAGAGTCCCAGCAGGAGGCCAGTCCCTGTGCTCCTCCGAGTCCCAGCAGGAGGCCAGTCCCTGTGCTCCTCCGAGTCCCAGCAGGAGGCCAGTCCCTGTGCTCCTCCGAGTCCCAGCAGCAGACCAGTCCCTGTGCTGAGTTGGTTCATACAGCACAAATATGACTTTTTTTCTTTAATAACATAATAATATTTACAACATATAGTGATGTAGTATCACAGGGACGAACAGTGGAGTTTTCTTACTGCCCTCATTCTTTTATGTTTATAGAAGCTCAACAAAGTTTTAGAATTACTTTTATTGTGTTTGTTGCGACGTCGTCTTGTTCATGTTTATCACATTTAGATTTACTTTGGTCCAGAGGCAGTTAAGTTCAGCTTTATGTCTTCAATAAACATTTCTCCAACACAAAGGTTTCTATGAGTAAGGAACGCATTTATGATAGTTCAACAACATGTCATAAAATAAATCAAAAGTTCTGTCGTGTTTGAATCTGTCAATCGTGAGAATTGAGATGATTACGTTCACCTCTCTCACTGCAAAACCCATGAAAACCGCCGTCACGACAAAACGCACATATATTCCACCAGAAGTCCACTGTCGTCTTTAATACGCAATCACAAAAGACCATCTGTGAACCATAAAAACAGACATGGGAGAAGGCAGAGCGAGACCTCCTCACCGCCTGATCCACAACTTCTCGGTGCCTTTCAGAGGATCCACAATCTGACTCTGCCGCGATGGGTGAACCGGGACGTCCTGCTCACGCTGAAGAAGATCGCGTCCTTCGAGGTCATGTACAGCATCCTGGACCACAAGAGGAAAGAGAAGGCTCGGCTGTCCGGCGGTGGGCCTTTCCTTTCCTTCTCACGCACACAAGAGATTCCCATGTTTGGATTAATCACACTGCAAAAAATGAAAAATTATGAGGCGATAATTGCTTGAATCGGGTGTATTTTTTATCTCAATCTGAGTTTATTCTATTTCATTTATTACAATCTTGTTTTAACCCTTAGATCACGTTCAGAGTCACTATATCTACTTGAAGCCATTTGGTAAAGGCATATAATTGAAAAAAACGAGGAGCTAGAAAAAAATCTACTTATTTGTGTTATTTGTGTCCTACATCTTAGCAAATCCAGGCAAGAAGCAACATATATTGCTTTCTTTAAGAAGAGAACATTAAATGGTTGAGGCAGTCAGAATATGCAGAAATGAAGATGCATTTTGAGCAAATTTGAGCCATTTTTTGACTCATTTTCTTCACGTTTTGCAGTGCACGATCATATTAGCCTTCGCAATTAAACGCTTGCTTGTTTTTTTTAACAGGGGTCTTGTTAAACGCCATCCTGAGGAATTTCTCCAAAGCCGTGGAGCAAGGAAGCACGCTCAAGTTCATTATGTACTCGGCTGTAAGTGCAGTGCGGCGGCGGCGGCGGCGGCCATTCGCTCCCAGCTGTTTACTCCATACACGCGATGACACCGAGACGCACAGAACATGCAGAAGGGTCATACATGTTTTACTGTGATCGTTTTCATGTCATAGGATTGTGGTTCAGATGGAGGGCCAGGGTCATGGTGTGGATTTTTGTGAACTCATTTGAAAATCAATCAGCTAAAGCTCCTTCTCTTGAATAAAATGGCAAAATTCAATTGATGGTGCTGGTGAGATAGTAAACATTTGTCATTCAGCCAACTTCAGCTCAGTCTTTTACTATACACAGTTGGTAGAGCATTTGCCTTTGGGTCTGAAGGTTGAGGGTTCGAGCCCACCACAAGACCTACTTCAAGACTAACACTGATGACTACTGTCGTTGTGTCCTTGGGCAAGACACTTAACCCCACTTTGCCTGAAGCCCCCGCTGAAAGATCAAGGCTCCTGTGGACTCACCACTTGCAGGAGGATCAGTGAGAGGCTGGTGCTCTGTGTACTGGGTAGCAACTCTGAATGCCACCCCCCTGACCCAGAAATGGATTAAGGGGAAGAGGATGGATGGATGGAGAATCTTACAGAAATGAGACTGCAGCTTTTATAACAAAAACAAAGTAATTCTCATCAAAGTGTATCGTACAGAAAATCAAACAAGAACAACACTTATTTTCTCAATTTTTTTTTATCAGACATGTCAAAGCCAAACCCAGCCTGGGGGACCATGGGGGACCGTGACCCCTGAAATGATCATTATGTGGGAGACTATGGCATGTTATACTTCATTTTAGAGGACAACTAACCACTAGCAAATAACATCCAAACGTTTCCAAATACAAAATTATGTAAAAATGTATAAATATATAATAGTGATGATAAAAATACACCACTTAAACACTTTTGGCCCCAAGCATGTCTTATGTTTTTAGACTTGACTCCCGACCAAAACGTGTGACAGCCCTGAATTATATGATTTTGGATCATAACCAAAGCACGCAAAAAAAATGGTGGAAAAACACTGCAGTTGTGAATGTTGGAAGATGTTTACTGGCTTTGGCAAATGTTTTCTTCCTAGACACATATTGGATATTATAGTTTCGGCTCCATTCTAAAATGTCAGACACAATCTCATCAAAGAGTGCGAATTGAATACCGATACAATAAAAGAGAAAAATGCATAACGAATAACTAAGTATCAATATGTGTTCTAAAATCTACTGACTCCAAGCTCCGATTTTTTGCCTTGGTACATTAGTCATGGCTCAGACTTGCATCTCCTGATCCTAAAGTGTGCGTGCCTTTTCTCTGACATCTGCGATTCTCTTCTCCTCTTCCAGCACGACTCGACCCTCATCACGCTGCAGGCGGCTCTGGACGTCTACAACGGCCTGCTCCCTCCGTACGCCGCCTGTCAACTCTTTGAATTCTACCAGGAATACGATGGGTAATGACTGCGCTCCAGCTCCTTCCCTTCCGATCTAGGTCAGACGAGCCGAGGGGGAAGAAAAAATATAAATTAACACATAGTTCCCAACACCTCTGCAGCACCAGTTGTTGTTGTTGTTGTTTGGTGTTTCTCATTCTCTGGCAGTGATCCAGGCAAAATTAGCGCATGATACTAAGCTATTGAGCTAGCATGAATGTGTGGACCGGGCTAATAATAACAAATCCACAGATGCCGACCTCACATGTCCTGAATCTGTGCAATAGTTTCAACTAATGTCAGAATGTGCAGCATAGAACCACAGGTGTCACTGTCACTTTACTGAGTCACAGTCCAAACCAGGCCAGTCTAGACTAGTCCAACCCAGGCCAGTCCATCCCAGGTCAGTACATCTCATGCCAGTCCATCCCAGGCTAGTACATCCCAGGTCAGTCCATCCCAGAACATTCTAACCCAGGCCAATCCATCTCAGGCCAGTCCATTCCAGGTGAGTCCATCCCAGGTCAATCTATCCCAGGCTAGTCCATCCCAGGCCAGTCCTACCCAGGCCAGTCTAGCCAGTACATCCCAGAGTAATCTAACCCAAGCCAGTCCAAACCATCCCTGTCTAGGCCAGTCCATCCCAGGCCACTCCAAACCAGGCTAGTCCAACCCAGGCCAGTTCTGACGCAAGAAGCAACGACAAGAACAGTCCTAGACACAAGAAGTAAGATTAGACCAATCCTGCAGAGGACTGATGGACCAAAACACAGCAGTTAGAGATTTTATATTAAATTTAGAGATGTGTTGTTTTATTTAGTATAGAGTTATAATTCATTTACCTTGTGCTGTGTGCTCCTCCGTCCTACTGTCCTGTAACTGCTGATGCAACACTGACATTTCCCCTCTGTCGGACGAATAAAGGAACTCTTACTCTTGCTCTAGATCTTATTCGGTGGAGCTGTATTACCGGAATGACTCCACGCAGCTGCCGTACCCCAACCCGGTCCCGGGGTGCAGTGGGCCCGCCCCCTGCCCTCTGACCCTGTTCAAAGACCTGGTGCAGGACGTGATGATGGACGACTGGGAGGCCGAGTGCGGGTTCGCCCTCAAGATGTCAAGTACAGGTCCGTTTTTAAGCTGTTATTCACTTGTATTTACAGTGAAATAGTCCATTTAATTTATTTTTGTATCGCTCTAAATCACAACAGACTCAGACGCACAAGAAATGCATTGATAAAAAACACATAGAGCCATTGGTGCATAAGGGGCTGATGACTAATGTCCACTGGTTTTAAGCTTTTGTGTGTGTCTTCACAGGTGTCATCACGGCTCTGGCAGTAGCAGTGGGCATACTGGCGGTGGCGCTGTTGTTCAGTATTTCGGTATTAATGTGTAGAAGAAGAGCACATTACTCCAGGGAGGTGTGATGTGACGTGAACCCTGAATCCAGACTCCAAATTTGTGTTGTTAATATTGCTTTCATTTGAATTGTTTTCCTTTTTTGTTTTTATGTCTTTGTAATTATAGAATTCTCTCAAAATAGTTTGGTTAACACAAGTTTGTATTCTATTCTGACCTTTTTAGAAAGAAAATTGTTCCTTGTTCCCTGCCCAAAGCAATAAATGGAGATGTAATATATCATGTTCAGGGTGTTGCTGCTTAGACTTAACCTTGCCTGCAAGCTGAATTCTCGCGGTATTTGTGAGTTCACAAACACTCGAGAATACATCTTGTCCCGCTCCCGCCAACCCTTTTTGAGTAGAACATCTAGGTGTTCAAGCCAATCACGCGCCAGTCTGGGGGTTTAGGGCGGGATATCCGGGTTTGACGAAAGCAAGAAGTGCCGGGCCGAAGCAAAACAAACATGGCTACGCAGGAGGACGGACGCGTAGCTGAGGCTATCAAGTCAGTTTTAGCAGAATCTCCAATTTCTTTTTTGAAAGATGAACAGCGAGAGGCCGGGATTGGTTTAAGTCAAACCTTGGTAGGCGGGCACACAGCGTCACTTCGCCCAATCAGCTTGAAGTATTCTGCTGCTTATCCCTCCTTTCCCCGAAAGGATTCTCCTGCAGAAGTCCCAGATTGATAATGTGGAGAACGCATTAGAGTTCTACATGTGGTGATGTGGATCTGCATGGCCACCAGCAGGAGGCGCACGGAGGTATAAAATGCCTCAGTGCGCCTCTCTCTGTCTACGCCGCGCAGACTTCCGCCTCCCGTGTCCACCATCCTGACAGTACAGGTAGCGTCCTTCAGACCTTTAATAATCTCACATCTTTATTTATTGAATTGCCTTTCTGTGGCCTAGGGGTGTGCTGTAATGGGTCGCGTTCGTTTGCCACTGGCTCAGCTTCCTGCCCTTTTTCTGTGGGTCCAGGTGTGGGCTGGACCCAGGATGTTGTGCACAACGGCCTACTGACCGTGCGCAATGACAGCGTTCCAGAGGGTAGGTTAGCGCGAGTTGTTGGATCTGTTGGAAAGCAGATCATGTTCCTGCCGTTTTTTAATATTTTATTTCCAGGCAGGATGCAAGATCTGGACGTGACCCCCGCTGCCATCTCGCCTTCTTTTTCCACTTTACTTCTCTTGTTCAGATACTTGTCTTTTATATTGCTAATACGACACAGGGACAAATTGATTTATGTAATGTGAACGTGAACAAGCTTTTGTACACTTGTGAAAAACTAGAGTGAGAACAACTGATTTTAATAAATGTGCTCACTCATGGATCATGCCTCCTTATATGAACTTACCTGTGTGCCTTAGGGCGTTTTATTTTATTTTGGGTTTAAAAACCCTGGCGTTGCTGGTATGTTAGTGCACCGAAAGTGAGCCCACGACCCTCGTAATGCTACATACACAATCATCAATCTGGCTCTTGCCAGGTTGGCTTAGACTCGTCTCCACACGGACAAGAGGCCAACCGCGGTACTGCAGCTTACATTCACAGGCTATAAGGATAATGTTTTCCCATAGCCCTCAATGTTAACTAAAACGGCTCGTCCTGCAGACAGAAAGGTGGGATTTTAGTGTACCTTGTCATCCTGAACTGTTTTGGTTTTTGCTAAATTCCCAACTTTAATAACAATAATAATGCATTGACTTCCTATAATGCTTAATGGACACTCAAAGACACTTCGGATTATTCATCAATAACTATTAATTAATTCCATACACAATGGTGATAAACTACTTGCCAGGGGGCAGTCTGTGAGGCAACCAGTCTGTGGCGTCCGTCCCTCCGATCACCACCAACCATTCACACAATTTACAGCCACAGCTGCCGCATTATGGCACCTGGTGTTCCCAGAGGTCTCCCATCATAGTACTTACCAGGCCCTGCTTAGCTTCAGAGGTCTGACGGGATCTGGCTTTAACATGTATGACCACTTTAGTATCAGCTCTTATTATTAGTCCTTATTCTACATTCTACGACCCGTGTGGGTTTTGGGTACAATAATTAGCACTTAATTATTGAGAGCTAATCTTAAGTGTCACGAATGTATTACTAAAAGTATAACTTAAAAAGTTAGGTACCCCAGCTTTACTGCATTTTGACTGCGTTATTTAAATACACTCTATGTACATTATTCTTTGACAGATTGGCAATAAAGAAACATTGATAGTAGCTTCACAGTATTTTAATGGACATGATGGTGGCAGTACCCTATAGAGCTGTTAAGTGTGACATCATTTCCCGGGTTCAAAGTTCAAAGCAGACTTAACAGCCGAACGTTTGCAATTTGTTTAATTTGTTCAACTAAAACAGCAATCAAACAAGCACGGCATTAAAAGCATGGAGTAGCTTGAATTGCTACGCTAAGCTAACACTATGCTAACATTATGCTAACATTATGCTATCAGCTGTTTTAGACAAAGAGGTGTTGTACAAGCGGTAGTTTTGTTTTAAAGACATAAATAAGCAGGCAGAGTTCTTTAGTTGACAATTAGCATCCGTCTGTCCCAAAAGGGGACAGTTTTTGTCACTTAACAGCCCCATTACAATATGTGCAGTTGATGAGTTGATTCATGGTTTTTGCGGTTCGGTTTTCACTCCTCCTCCTTGGGCGTCTCTGTGAAAACTGTGAAAACATGACAATAGTTAAAAAAACATCTGGCCATCTCTACAAAGATTGCATACATAAAGGTTTATAGGAGGATTTTTGCAAACTTTAGTAAAGAACCGCCCTTGTATCACCAAAATGATTGACAATTAGGAGGACCAACAGTCTTGATGATCCACCCGGAAGTAGAAAATCCTCCTTAATACCTGTATCATAGTGTTTTCTCACCTTTGACACACAGCTTGCACTCCACCTCGTCCTGGCCCAGATCATTGATGGCTCTACATGTGTACGTGCCTCCGTCGTAAGGGCCCGGCTTGCGGATCTTCAGGGTTAGCACTCCCTGGTTGTTCTGCATCAGGAATTTGGGGTCTTCACCGATGATCATCTTGTTTTTCATCCAGATAATCTTTGGCTAAAATCACACAAAAAAACACATATGGAGCTACACTGTTCATTTGCATTGGAGTATTTCTGGGTCTTATGCAGCTGCGTTTGACCTTTGCCAAGTGATTACAGAAATGCCACCCCACATCTTCCTCAGAAATATCGGTCTGAACAACCACAGCGATCTCATTTTCAGCCACTTTGAGCGTGCATTACCTTGGGGAAGGCTCTGACGGCACAGCTGATGGCCATGCTGTACCCAGCCACCACATTTCTGTCCACTAGGGGCTGGGTGAACTTGGGCATGCAGGACAGGTCTTTCTCCTTGTAGTCAGGTCTCTTCATCTCAAGGTCTGAACAAAACACACACGGTTTATGTACTCCCTATCTCTCCTAAAGAACATGATGCACTTGTTTTTGCACAGGATCAATAAAGTATCTATCTATCTATCTATCTATCTATCTATCTATCTATCTATCTATCTATCTCAGAGGTCTCCAAGCGTCCAACCGTCAAAATTTTCTCTCGTTAATGTAGGTTTTTTTTTTTTACTCAAAAGATTTTACTTTGGAGAGCTACTTTGAAGAGATTGGCGAGTTACAGGTAGCTCCCAAGCAGATGAGCGGTTGGAGACCCCTGATCTATCTACCTACCTACCTTTAACCTATCTATCTATGTTAATCCAATTTATCCTGTCTGTCTATCTATCTAGCTACATTAATCCTATCTATCTATCTATCTACGGTAATCCTATCTATCTATCTACAGTATCTATCTATCTAGCTACCTAGGTTAATCCTATCTACTCTATCTATCTATCTATAGTATCTATCTATCTAGCTACCTAGGTTAATCCTATCTACTGTATCTATCTATCTATCTATCTATCTATCTATCTACGGTAATCCTATCTATCTATCTACAGTATCTATCTATCTAGCTACCTAGGTTAATCCTATCTACTCTATCTATCTATCTATAGTATCTATCTATCTAGCTACCTAGGTTAATCCTATCTACTGTATCTATCTATCTATCTATCTATCTATCTATCTATCTATCTATCTATCTATCTATCTATCTATCTATCTATCTATCTATCTATCTATCCATCTGATCACAGCTTGTTGCAAAGAGTTGGAGGCACCTGTCTTGGGGATGACAGCCGTGTTCTTACTGACGCCGGCCTCCTCGCTCAGGCCGCACAGGTTCTCACTGAACACTCTGAACTGGTACGTGTTTCCCATGATGAGGTCTGAGGCCGTGCAGTTTGTCCTCCTGTTGTGCTCGTAAACCGTGAACCACTCCTAACAAAGAAAACATGAGCATTTTATTACACTGAGGTATAAAACCATGAATGTGATGAATGCAGGAGAAAGAGCGTCGTCCAAAGTTTTCGGCTTCCTCTCGTGAAACAGTCTGCAGATAATTTGCATTTTAGGACGACAGAGTGCTTTTGCATTGTTTAGAATTACATTATATTGTTTGTGTCCAGAAAACATATTATTGTGTCAAACTGTAGTTTTTAGTGCATTAGTTTTAGACAGCCCTTTTCTGGACGCTCAAAGATGCTTCGTGCATGACATTATTCTTTCACGGTGGAGATAAACTACTATTGTAGCCGAAGCTGCCCTGGGGCACAATGACTGAAGTGAGGCAACTATATGTACCATCCCCCCCTCCCACCACCACCAACCATTCACGCACATACCAGACTCATACAAGGCAATGTGCGTGATGTGCCTTGCCGCAGCTGCCCCACTGTATTACCTGGTGATCACAGAGGTCTCCCATCACAGCACTAACCATTTCCTGTCCTGCTTAGCGTGAGAGGTCTGACAGGATCTGGCCTTCACATGCAGGTTGAGTAGAAGGCCCAGTATAATGTAACAGTATTGTAGCCACAGACCTTGGTCTTCATGTCCGCCTTCTGGATGGTGTAGCCTGTGATCTCACAGTTTCCGTCGTCTTTCGGAGGTTCCCACTCCAGCGCCGCGTTAAAGCCCCACACGTCCGACACCTTTACTTTGAGCGGAGGCCCGGGCTTCTCTGGAGGAGCACAACCATCAGTCACACCTGTCTCTATCTCTGTCTCTGCCTTTGTTTCTGTTTCTGCCTCTGTCTCTGCCCCTGCCTCTGCCTCTGTCTCTCTGCCTTTGTCTCTGCCTCTGTCTCTCTGCCTTTGTCTCTGTCTCTGTCTGTCTGTCTCTCACTGTCTCCATCTCTGTCTCTGTCTCTATCTGCCTCAATCTGTCTCTGTCTCTGTTTCTGTTTCTGCCTCTGCCTCTATCTCTGTCTCTCACTGTCTTTGTCTCTGTCTCTCTGCCTCTGTCTCTGTTTCTGTCTTTCTCTCTGCCTCTCTCTCTGTCTCTCACTGTGTCTCTCTCTCTGTCTCTCACTGTGTCTCTCTCTCTATCTCTCACTGTCTCTGTCTCTGTTTCTGCCTCTGTCTTTCTGCCTTTGTCTCCATCTCTGTCTCTGTCTCTATCTGCCTCTCTCTGTCTCTGTCTCTGTTTCTGTTTCTGCCTCTATCTCTGTCTCTCACTGTCTTTGTCTCTGTCTCTCTCTCTGTCTCTCTCTCTGTCTCTCACTGTCTTTGTCTCTGTTTCTCTCTCTGTCTCTCACTTTCTCTGTCTCTGTTTCTGCCTCTGTCTCTGTTTCTGCCTCTGTCTTTCTGCCTTTGTCTCTCTCTGCCTCTGTCTCTATCTCTGTTTCTGTCTTTCTCTCTGTCTCTCACTGTTTCTGTCTCTGTTTCTGCCTTTGTCTCTATCTCTGTCTCTCTCTGTCTCTCTGCCTTTATCGCTCTCTGTCTATATTTCTGTCTCTGCCTCTGTCTCTGCCTCTGCCTCTGTCTCTGTCTCTGTCTCTGTCTCTGTCTCTATCTCTATCTCTGTCTCTGTCTCTGTCTCTGTCTCTGTCTCTGGTTCTATCCCTGTCTCTGTTTCTGCCTCTGCCTCTTTCTCTGCCTCTGTCTCTCTGTCTCTGCACCCTCTGTCGTGAACTGCGGCCTTGACCCGCTTACCCACTATCCGAATGATGACGGTGGCCCTGTCCTCCATGTTCTCAATCTGCAGCACCAGCTCGTACGTGCCCGAGTGCTCCCTCTCTGCAGCGCGGATGAACAGGATGGTGTCCACGTTGGAATTACGAACATTGACCATCTTGGGGTCAACGGGCTGACCGTCCTTGTACCAGGTGGCGACGGGACGTGGCTTCCCCTGAAACATTGTGGCATGACTCAGTTTAGAATCACAAAACATTTTAATATGACATGTGCAGACGGCAGGATCCATAATCATCAACACAATATGGTTAATAAATAATATAGTTTAGTTTTATTATCTACAGAGATGACCCAAGCCTCTTTCTCCGTTTCTTCTTCTCTAAAGTAAAATTCCATTATCTGTCTTTTTTGTGTCTGTCTGTAGCACAGGTTTGAATTAAAAAAAAACACATTAGCAAAAGTAAAAACCCTTTATAGAAATGTAAATTAGAATTACGTTTATCTTTCTCATTAATTCAATTCCATAAAATTTCACTTACAAAGTTGTGGAATTGCCAACCGATCAGTTTGAAATGCAATAACAACAATCACATGAGAACCATTGGTCCATCGGGGGCGGGATGACCACTGTCCATAAATACATGTTCTTAAAGGTTACCTGTGTAGTTTTTACTCCCATCTAGCGTTGAGATCATATATTGCAATATTCGGTACTACGGTGGCTTTGCAGGACAATATGTCGTCTTTGACAGTGGTCCCCAAGTACTGCTCAAACTCCCTTTTGTCCCTAATCAACCACTGTAGTTCAAAATGGCGCATTGACACAGAGAGTCCTCAGCTCTCATGGACATTTATAAGTCAAATTCTAATCCTATGAAAACAATTTAAAAACATGGTGTGGGTAAATATTCTTAAAAAGGTCACATTTGTTATGAAGATTAAGAGATCCTTTTCGTCCCACAGCGGGGAAATGTCAGTGTTGCATCACTACAGAACAGTAGGAATGAGGAGCACACAACACAAGATAAGTGAACAATAGCTAGCTTGGTTAACATTTGGATTTTTTCTTTTGAAGCAACTGTAAACAATACAGAGAGCACCTTTAAACGTCCCAGATCATGAAAAAATAGGCATCAAAAACACAATTGAAGTGAAGTTCAGGCCATCCCACCTGTTAGTCCGATGATAAGGTTAATTCTAATAATAACGCGCTGCCTCATGAGGTGGGAGAGTCTGATGCAATAAATACATCACATGTTGGCGTGACTGAAAGCAGGCTGTGATGATGGATTGCTTTCTGAGTGAAGTATCCTCCAGGCTGAACGGGTCAACAGACGCCACAGATGCTCAAAGACATTTAGTCTGGAAGTTGAGTTGACTCTGGATTGGTCTGATTGACGGATGGATCGGCCAATCACAGTTGGATGGTGTTTTGTACAATGAGAGCTGCAGACACTGAACATGCTATGTGCAATACTGCAGCTACTTATACTGTGTTTTGTGTGCTCCGACTACCGACCCTAACCCTGCGTGTGCGCTGCGACAAGGAAAGGTTCTTTTTATCTTATCTATTTTCTTGTGTTATAGAAAAATGGTGATGCCATGTCTGCATGCATTTATGTTATATTCAGAGTATATTTTTTATTATTATTATTAGGTTTTTTTTTTTTATTACTGTATTAATCCATATCCATCTGATAATTCTGCCTTTCACCAGTCACTTTACCTGTTGATATTATTTCTGATGTTTATTCTGCTCATATTCTCATATTCTCCGCTGCTATTGTATAATATAGACATCTGTAAATACTCCGAACCAAGTGCAATTATAGCCCAGAGTTTATCTTATTTGATTTTAGATTTTTTTATCTTAATTTATTTGTCTAATATCTTAAATAAAAGACTCAATTTGATGTGTGCAATCTGAGTGCTCTTATTTCTTTTCTCTGCTGTAATGTGCGCAACGATGACACTGAAATTTCTCCACTGTGAGACTAATAAAGGTTTATCTTATCTTATTTAATCATTATGTATTATTATAATTATTTATTTATTGTTTATTTTGTTATTATTGTTCATTGTCATTGTCCATTTCCTCCTCAACCAACACCCTCCTTGCATGGACATTTACAAAAATAAAGAAATAGAATCTTCACATAGTCCCAATCACAAGTATAACGTCATTAGTTGCACATACAGTCACTTATAAGAAAGCTGTGAAATAAAACGGGCGACAGTAGCTCAGTTGGTAGAGCATTGGCTGAAAGATCAAGGCTATGCTCACACTCAGAGAGCAGCCGTCCTCCTGTGGACTCACCACCTGCAGAGGGTCAGTGAGGGGCTGGTGCTATGAGACTTGGGTGGCATCTCTGACTGCCACCCCCCTGACCCAGAAATGGATTAAAGGGTAGAAAATGGATGGATGGATGTAAAATAAAACTAAAAAAATATATATTGGTGGTATGTTATTTAACAATTGTCGAGGCTGTGTTTACCTGGAAAGGTACGACCAAGTTGATTTTATCTCCTACTTTCCGGATGTACTTTGTCCTCAGTTCACGTGGAAGGCGGATCTTGGGGTGTTCTAAAATAGAGACAGTTGTAAATCCTGAGCGTTAATGGTTTTTATGAAGTGTGCGACTCGAGAAGACGCTGTATCTGACCCATGATCTCGCGGATGGTGACGGGCTGACCCAACAGAGCCGGGGGACTCCTGCCCGCGATGTTGACGGCCACCACCCTGAAGTTGATTTTCTCGCCCACCGGGAGACCACGCACCACAAAGCCTTGCCTCTCACACAGTTCCTGGTTTGCCACGACCCACTCAGTATCTGGAGGGGAAGATAAACAAGGCCATTTTTGATTATTTATATTGTTTTAACGTTACAACATGGCAAAAAGGGATGGAAAGTAAGTCCAAAAAAATTGCCACTTTGCCAAAAAGTATCTTAATTTGAGCACATTCTGACAGCCGTAAAACAAAATTCGCCAATAGGACCAAGCAAAATTATCTTGTTTTAAAAATACACAATAAATGTTTCCCGTGGAATGAGAAAATAAAGCAACAGTTCTTGAAATCAGACTAAATGGCTTTGTCCCATCGAAGAATCTTATTTTAACACAGTCAGAATGAACTAAGATCCAGCACGCAATTATTACCACATGTTTTATTTTTTTTTGCCGTGATTACACCTTTTTTATGTACAGTATTTGAATTGTATTTTTTTGTTGAGCGTTTTTGAAGAGACTGGATGTAAGATGAACTGTTTCATAATCACCTCCGTCTTTGCAATACTCAATAACATATCCGTCCAGGCCTCCAGCTCCGATCTTCTCCGGAGCGAGCCACTTGAGACTGCATGTGCTGTCGGTCACGTCATGCACGGTCAGGCGGGTGGGCTCGCTGGTGGGGGCTGGGCAGAAAAACACCAGGAATATACAGTTTATTTGTGACATCAGCGTCTTTTCTGTTTCAAAGCATTCTTCCAGTATTCTTCCAGTTGGGATCAGTTTTCAGGAAAATACTTGGGTATAAATTTAAAAACAACTGTTGTTGTTCTACATCCAAATCTTGATTAGTATTTTGATTAAAGTGAACATTCATAACATCGTCAGCTTTATTTGTATAGCACATTTACAACAACACCAGCTGCTCAAAGTGCTTCACAGGCACCAAAAATAGAAACATAAAACCAAACAGCAAAAAACATACAAACATACATCTAAAAAGTAAAACTCAGTTGGTGTTAAAAGCCAAGGACTTATATCACCATATACACGGTAAAAGAACAACTTTTGTAGCCACAGCTGCCCTAGGGCACACTGTCAGGAGCGAGCCAACCAGTGTGTGCCATCGGCCCCTCTGAACATCACAACCGTTCCCACACACCAGACTCATTTAAAGTGTCTTTGCCTTCACAATGGGTGAAGTGTCTTGCACCTTGCACTTGTGGCACCTGGTGTTCCCAGAGGTCTCCCATCGCAGTACAAACCAGGCAATGCCCTGCTTAGCTCCAGACATCTGACAGGATCTGGCTTTCACATGCAGGTATGGACACACGAATTGCAATGATAAAATTGGTAATTATGAATAGACCACACTCTCTAGAGGAGCTGGAAGCCACTTTAATGTAAAATATACGGTAATGTAAAGGCCAATGTAACTATGGGGCAGTATGTACTTACCGATGGGCATGAAGGGTTTGGAGGTGAGACTAGGAGGAGACAGACCGATACTGTTGACCGCAAACACCCTCATCTCGTACAGAATGCCCTCAATCATCCTCTTGGCCTCGTACGTGGTGGACTCGTACACGTCGAAGTTGAGTTTGGTCCATCTGGAGGAGCCCTTCTTCTTCCTCTCCATCAGATAACCTGAACCGTCAAAGCACATTAGAGCTGCGTTCGCCACAGACGCCAGAAACAGGAACATTACCTTTTACGGGCGCGCCTCCGTCAAACTTGGGAACGTCCCAAATCATTGACGCGCAGTCTTCTCCCACTTTGGTGCATCTGACGTTCTCTGGAGGATCGGGCACGTCTGAAGCGGCGAATGAAAGAGAATGTTTTAAAGCGGGATGTTTTTTACCCCGGGGTTGGAGCAATGTACGTTATAGCGCGACTTACCCACGATCTTGATGAACAGATTGGCCTTGTCCTCGCCAGCGGGGTTGGTGACACAGATGGTGTAGTTGCCCTCATCCTCTCTCTCGGCTCCCTCAATGACGAAGCAGCTCAGGTCTTTCCTGGCCTCCACGCGCATACGGCCCTCTGCTTCTGTGATGACCTGCAAGAGACAAGAGACAAGACATTGGCACAAAGTTTAGGACGCATAAAACCCGGACAATCATCAAATCTGTCTGAAGTTATTACACATGGCTATTTTAACAACCCGTAGACGTTTTTCCTTGAAGTGTAAACTGGAATAAACTTTATACCCTGATAGGACACTCAACATTTAACAACATTAATAGACATTTTGGACATTATATTGACTGCAAATGACAAATTAATTCTTGAATCTTGCATATATACAAGAAGTAAGGCTGCGCAAAATGATGCTCCCGTCTCCCCTGATACTTGATTGGTTCGTGGTATTTGACAATCCAGGAACTCGACATTTATGAACATTTGTCTCTGTTTCCTTATGGACCAATGGCTCTATGTGTTTTTTATCATCGCATTTCTTGTGTTTTGTTTGATTCTCTGATCTGTGTCGGCGATCACGTTTTTGTAAAGTCTGCTGAGATAACTACTGTTGTGACTTAGTGCTACACAAGAACACATCGAAATTAATTGAATAGTTGATAATGGAATTTTCTTCTTCTTTGCAAACCTAGTATATAGTGAGTGCCCATGGAGAGTCCTTCAAAAGACCACACAAATATAACCTTACACTTAAGTAATTTGTCCAAAGGCATAATAGCGCTAACCTTCTCACCTTTGCCCATATTTCAGCACAGAGCGGCGGAGTACAAAATGGTTTTACGGCGAGGCTCGACAGCTTTACATGCAGACGGTGGCTTGGGTTACCTGGTCGCCCTTTGACCAGACCACGGTGGGCGCTGGTTCTCCGGTGATCTCCACGTCCAGACGCAGCTTGTTTCCAGCCACAACGATGATGGTGTTCTGGGAAACCATGTTGCCGGTGGTGTCCAGGTGGATCTTTGGGGGATCTTAAAATTCCAAAGTTTTCCAAGGTTAAAACAAGGAAAAACACCCGCTGTACTTTCTTATTTGTTTCACCTCTTTATAGTTAATCATTAGTATTTATCATGAGTGTATTTGTTTTATTTATTTATTTATTTTTTTATAATTTTATTGTCATCTTTTACTTTGTTAATTTTTTTAATTATGATTTTTTTTAACCAATTTTAAAATCAAAAACTCAAAAATAATATATTCAAAAACGAAATAATAAAAAACAAACTTAACTCTTAATTAACTCCCAGTGCCGTCATTTTGACAGCTCTCATTCAAACCATAGTTTTTCACCGGTTTTATTAAAAGTGGGTAATCAATACATTTTGTTTTTTTAACTATCTTTACTCCGCTAAAACTGGTAAAAATAGCCAAAAATAGTTTGTTGAAATGCTGCTGAATGCTAACTGCTAACAGTAAACGGTCTGTCTCTATGGTAACAAGGACTGGCCCCTCTCTGGTGGAAAAATTAGTTTCTTCTCATCTCAAAAATAAAAGATGATTTCATAAAAACAATGACAAAGAAAGAAACTAAATATTGTTTCAGAAGAAGTTACAAAGACTGTATAGGAAGATCGTAAAGCTCCAAAACTAAAACCCGTCAATCTGACTGGTCTGGGAGTTTTGACAGTCCTCTCTCTCTCTGTCTCTGATGAACTTTCAGGGCCTTGTTAGTTAGTATCTTATGTTATTATAGCACAGAGTTATTGTTAATTTATCTGGTCTGCTCCTCATTCCTAATGTCCTGTAACACTGACATTTCCCCACTGTGGGACAAATAATCTTAATTCATCTTAATTAAATTTGTGAAAAACGTGGCGGTGAAAGGGTTAATCCATCCATTTCTCGCAGAGCTGGGATTTGTGTCCAAGTATGCTTACCTTGTCTGGGCACATAGTCAATCTTGATCTCTGTTGAGGAGAGAGGCGGCGGTAAGTAGACAGCAGGTGGTATTTTCAGAACCGTTTTTAATCATGCTCTTGCCTCACCTAGGAAGTTGAGTTTGGCAGAAAGCGACAAGGCGTATCCATCAGGAACAAACGTGTAGTCTCCGGCGTCTTCCGGCTTCACATCATCAATAAGGAGTTTGTGGAATCTGAGAAAAACAGCAGAGGAATATGTTCCGAAAGGTAATGTGTTTACTCCAATTGTCTTTGCTGATTTACAGATCTGTCGTGGGACTTCCCGCATTTTTATACAAAGAGCCACAAACCTGAGTGTGCGTGGCTGAAAAAGATGGATACGTTCAAAATAGATAATCAAATATATTTTAAACCTTTCCTCGATCATTTGCTGGATCACTTTTTGAAGCTTGGAACTGAAATCTACCTCATTCCATTGTTGCATCTCTATTCCCTAGTTTGAGGGACTTTTACTGTACATCAAGCTGCATCTCAACCAAACCTCACTATAATTTGAAAAAAAAAAAACTATGGGGTTAAAAAATAAAGAATCATTATTTTTGTCATTTGTGCTCCTGCCTATTAGATAAAATAATTATAAATAAAAATACCGCACATTGTGATCATTATTTGAATTGTGCTATACAATTAAACTTGCCTTGCAGCATATGTCTATACCAGGGGTGGCTGCAGGTTTTCATTCCAACCAAGCATAAGTTTACCAACCGGCCCTTTCTGAAACCAGTTCTACCCCAGATCTATGAAATTCTGTATGTGGTTCTTGGAAAAGGAAACTTCAATCAGAAATGTAGTATTTACAAAAAACTATGATGAGGAAGATAATAATAAAAGATTGTGGTCCTGTTTACCTTCCAACGTGAGTCATCTTGTGGCGCTCACTGGGCAGCACTTCCACTCCATCTTTATACCACTTTCCTGTAACCTTGTCGTCCGACACCTCACACTTGAACATGGCCTGGTCTGTGGCCTTCACCGTCAGATCAGCGATGTCCTGCAGGACCTCCAGCTGTTTCTCTGAGCAAAGACAGAGCAGCCCACAAGAGGAGGGTCAGGCCAGAGAGAAGGCCAGAGAGAGGGCCATGAGACGTGCATGAGAGCGAGGAGAGGTCCACAACAGCTTGACAACAACTGCCACGAATTGTTAGTTTGTTTATAGCAAGATCAGCTCGGCCCTGAGGTACGAGAAGAAATCCAACTGCATTCAGCAGAGAATGTGAAACAGGATATTTAGTTAGAACCAGCGACGACGTAAGAAACGGTATCTTTCATTGCTATGTTTAGGTTTATCATTAACGATGGAAAAGAATCGTTTTGGCAGATACCTTCTACTTCCAGCTCTCCTTTGGTGTGGCCGCCGTTGGTCCAGGCGTGGTACATGCCGATGTCGTCCAGAGTGGCTTCTGGGATTATCAACATGTGCTTCTTCCCATCTTTCTTGAAGCGGAACTTAGAGTCCTTCTCTTTGTGCAGCTCCACATCTTCAAAGAACCTACAAACACAGTCCTGATTACGTGGAACAATGTCTGCTTCATTTTATCAATGAAGAATACGTTTATTTGTTTTTATAGCTCTGTGTGACCCTGGTCCCTGAACACTTTTATAAAGATGACAAATGTTTTTTGATTTGTGACGACAGAGGTTCTCACTGACCACATGACGTGGGCGCCCTCTTCTGAAACCTCGATTTCAAACTCCACTCTCTCCCCGACCACCACGTGATAGTCATCCATCAGTTTGGTGATGGTCACTGGGGGCTCTGTGGGTGAAGAGCAGAGAAAACACTCATGAAACACATTCTGATGATTGATGTCACATGATGAAGATGTTCATGAACTGCTGAAGCTGCACCTTTGACGAACACTTCAGTGAAGGACTTGTCGTCTCCGACCACACACTCGTACGCAGCGTCGTCGGCCAGAGTCGTCCGGTTGATGGTCAGAGTGCGGATGTTTCCATTGGTTTCCATCACGTACCTTTAACACAAGTCACACACTTACTACGCAATAAAAGTGCAATACTGTCAGAATGTGCAATACTAGACCACATGTGTCCACTGTCACAGAGCCTCCTGGAAACATGTATTTACTAATCTCTGTGACTGGTGATGCAACACTGACATTTCCCCACTGAGGGACTAATAAGATTTACTCATACTGTATGTCTTGAAAAGCGTGAATATAGATTTTTTTCAAATAGTTGAAGACACCAAGTCACCGACCGTTCAACTCTTCAATAATATTTGCAGTAAACTCAAATACAAACATATTTTGTGAACTTCACTGAAAGTAAATTATACTTTGTTCTTTTTCCGGGTTCTGTTTAACAGCATCTTTGGCGATATAAAAGAATTGTTTCTCTCATTCAGACACAACTCCGAGTGTGATGTAGAAAGTCAAGTTGTTGAGTGCGAGCTTTTTTTAACCGAGTGGAGAAGCCTTTGTCCCAGCGGGGAATGACAGTCGACTGCAGAGAGTGTAAGGTGTCTTGGCAGTTGGACTTAGACTTATCCCATGGGGAGGAAACTTATGACGAGACTAAAAATAAAAGCTGTTGACAGATCATAATTTGGCCCTGTGAATCTGAACTGATAAGTCTGGCTTTATATTTATACAACACTCTCTGCCTATCAGGTCCGTGTCGGATTTACTCTTCTGGTTTGGCCTCGCACGGCAAATTAGGCTAATGTCTAAAGGCTCATGTGTTGGTGTACTTTGCCGAGGGTTTGATCTCCTGTCCGTTCTTCAGCCATTTGACCTGGACGTTGGGGTCGACCACCTCACAGGTCAAAACGATCTTCTTCCCTTTGTCCACAGAGTAGCACGAGTCAAGCTTCTTCAGGAAAGCTACAGAGGAATAAAACAAAACATAAAAAGCAAGAGAGAGTTATTCATGAAGTGGGCTCAAGAGAAAATAAACAGATCAGAGATTCACAAAAGCAAAACTGTACAAATGATATGTTGTTATCAAACTGCGGTCACATGTTTGTGATGAAGCCTGAGACTTTCTGTGGCCAGCAGCTGCACGCAAGCTTTTCTCACTCACCAACCTTAGCCCCAAACCCTAGCCTTAGCCCCCTAACCCTAGCCTTAGCCCCCTAACCCTACCCTTAGCCCCCCTAACCCTAGCATTACCCCCTGCCCCCACCCTTAGCATCAAACCCTATCCTTATCCCCCAAACCCTGGCCTAAGTTCCGAACCCTACCCTTAGCCCCCTAACCCTAGCCATAGCCGCAAACCCTACCCTTCGCCCCTTAACCCTAGCCTTAGCCCCAAACCCTACTCTTAGCCCCCTAATCCAAACCTTAGCCCCCTAACCCCAACCTTAGCCCCCTAACCCTACCCTTAGCCCCCTAATCCTAGCCTCAGCCCCTAACCCTTGCCTTAGCCCCCTAACCCTAGCCATAGCCGCAAACCCTACCCTTCGCCCCTTAACCCTAGCCTTAGCCCCAAACCCTACTCTTAGCCCCCTAACCCAAACCTTAGCCCCCTAACCCCAGCCTTAGCCCCCTAACCCTACCCTTAGCCCCCTAATCCTAGCCTTAGCCCCCTAACCCTTGCCTTAGCCCCCTAACCCTACTCTTAGCCCCCTAATCCTACACTTAGCCCCCTACCTAACCCTACTCTTAGCCCCCTAATCCTACACTTAGCCCCCTACCTAACCCAACCAGGACAGCAGGAGGAATACTCTGACCCCTTTGCCAGAACCACTCAGAAACACGTGGGAATAAAAATGTGAAATCAACTCAAATATGAAATAAAAGGTTCTCCAAACATCCACAAAAACAATGAAATCTTTGTGACAAAAAATAGGGAGTAAATAAATAAATAACAGAAAAAGATTCGAACATTTGAAAAACAAAGTCTTCTGCAGTCCATCGTTGATTGTTTTTTCTAAGTTGTAGGAGCACTAATAAATAAATAAATAATTTGTGTAGTTTTAGTAATACCCTTGCTATATTCAAGCCAGGCTGAAAACAGGTCTTTTTAGCCATGCCTACGACTGATCACCATCAGGAATTATTATTATTATTTTATTATTGATCTATGCATATACATGTATTTCTTCTTAAATTGTGTTTTGTTTGTGTTTTTACAGTGTGTTTTTAGATTTTGCCAACGTGGAGCACCAACGGGTTGCATTCTGTATGAACTGCGCTTAATGAAAAAACGTTGATTGATAGATTGACTGATTGTAGGCCTCTACAAAACGGTCGAGATGCAGATTGATCTAAAAGTGCCTCAAACCAAGTGATAGAGACGCAACAATTAAGTAGATTTCAGTTCCAAGCTTCAAGTCGATACAGTAACTCAAAAAGTGAACCACCAAACAACTGAAGAAACCATTAAAGGTTTGAGAAACAGGTCAGGCAACAAAAGATTAACTTCATTGCCATATCCAAAGTGGAGATAAATGATCAACAAAAACGAAATCTCGTCCATCCACCTCTCTCCCGTGAGTCTCTCTGGGCCACGTCAAACTCGCTCTTGTCCTAACGTCAGATCGGCTTCTGTCCTTGTCGTTTGCTCCACACTCTCCCCCCCGGCAGGTATCGGCTCGTGTCACGTTCAGTTTTGCCAACTCCTCAGTAAGGAAAGTAGCTATTGGCTGTCCCAAAAGTCGCTAGAAGTCGCTAAATGACGTCATCGCCTAATTTGCATAATTTGCAATTTGCAAATAACTGTAACGGACGCTGTAGGAGAGAGGAATAAGGTCGTGGGAGAGACAAAAGTGAGTAAAAACACCCTAAATATGTTTAGAACTACAAATGTACAAAAATAATTTCAACATTAACAACATTTAATGATTTTAATGCTTTGTCTAGATCCACATTACACACATCAGTTTTGTCCTGTATTGTTAAATGTTATAACAGCAAATGTAATCAAAAGATTGTTATGTAGGGTGAAATTGCTAGCTCTACAACCAACCCTCCTCCTTTATCCGGGCTTGGGACCGGCAAAGTGACCCAAAAGACACACTCTGGCAGAGTTACTTAGGTTTATTTTTGTAAGTTTTTTTTTTTTTTCATAGTTTGGCATAACAAATGATTTAATGTGACCCACTACTGAGAGAAAACAGAGTCACGGACAGAGCTGCCGCGGATGGAGTGGGGGGTAGTGGGGGGTGGCGGTGGTAGGAGTGGCCGGGGAGCTTTGGATGTGTGGTGGTGGTGGAGCTGAAGTTCAGTCTGCAGCAGCCTGAAAACTTCCTGTGCTTTTGAGTCTCCTCTCTCTCTCTCTCTGCTCCGCCCATAGACTGTAGCTGGGACTGCTGCGCAAGGCTACTGTGAGACTGGCCGCCTGTAAGTGCTTTTGGGACGGGGGAGGGGCTCACGTTGAGGACAGCAGAACAATACGTGCTTCACGAGTCTCCAAAACACCAGATAAGTCGCCAAAACACCAGATAAGTCGCCAATAACACCAGAAAAAGTCGCTAGATTTGTCGCTAGTCGCTTTTTTGAAAAAAAGTCGCTATAGGGGTCTGAAAAGTCGCTAAATCTAGCGACAAAGTCGCTAAGTTGGCAACACTGGTCACGTTGCCTCTACCTTACCCCCCCACACACCCGCCTCTTTACCCTCGCAGTGCTTGGGCTCCGGAGCGGTCATCTTCTTCAGACGCTTCAGCATGCCCCTCAGGTCAGTGATGCCATACTCAAACGCAATCTTCTCGTATTCGCTTGGATGAGCACTCTTAAGCAACTCCCACACGTCAATCTCGGGCTTCTCCTCAACCTTCTTCCTCCTGTCGGCCGAGGAAGAAGGACATGTTTTGGCGAACGTAGAAAATACAAGATTTTTAAGTGTGTGTGTGTGGAGAAAAAAATAACTCACTTTTTTGTGGCTTTGAGCAGAGCGCTGAAGTCCAGGTTTCCGTCGTCCTCTCCAGCATCCCTGTGTGTGAAAAAATGACTCTCCTTTAATGTTTCCATCCATTAGATAAGATAAGATTTGATATAAGGTATTGAGGGGAAATTTCAATGTTGCATCGCACTGACAGGACAGTAGTAAGAGCACACATGCAGGCAGCACACACAAAATATACATTATAAGCAGCTGCTATGCTTTTTAGCTAGCTGTAAAAATATCAATATATCGATATATCTCTCTCTAATTCATTTTTTCATTTTTTTATTTATTTGATCGGGACAACACACATTAATGAACAATCATATACAAGTTGTACACAAATTGTAAATGTGCCGGATTATAGTAAAACTGCTGATTTACATCCGTAGTCTCAAGGCAGGTCACACAATAAAACAAACACAAAACACAATATACAGTACATCTAAGTCCTATCTATCTATATATATACACAGTGTAAAGTTATGTACATATAGAGCCGGATAATGAGTAGATAAAGTGACATTCAGTGGACAGAATAATAACTGTAACATTGCTAAGATATAGTAGTAATTTTACCAAATTTAGTCTTTTTTTTTTTTTTTTTTTTTACTTTAATGCACCTTGAGCCAAAGCAAATTCCTAGTTTGTACCTTCCTGATACTTACAACGGCAACACTTTCTGATTCTGATAAACGTGTGCATCCATTTCATTTCTAAAACTTTGGCAACATTGGCGTCGCTGGAAAGACCTGCGATTTTAATTTGATCAGAAATGTTGACGTAATTACTTTTTGCTCGTCGAACGGTTTGTGTGAAATGTGATTTAAATGTGGAGGAGTGAGGACCTCAGCGGGAGAGAGGTGTGTGGTCAGAGAGTTTTTGGGCTTTGTGATGTGTGTGTGTGTGTGTGTGTGTGTTTGAAATAAAATTCTTACTGCTGAATCAAAAACTTGCATCAGAGTGATTTCTTTTATCCCAGAGTGTTTTTGTTTTTGCAGTGTGAACATATTTTTATTAATGGTAGACATGGAATTGAGGTTTGGGAAATCAATGTGACACCTAATGAAAGGTCTGTATAAGGCGTTATATAAATACGTATACATTTCTTACTTACAAAAAAAATTGGTTAACTAATCCTTGTTGATTTCTTTGTTGTAAATCTCTCCATTGTGAGATCAATAAAGTTGTATCTTTTCTCATCTGATTGGTTTCATGGTGACGATTATTTCTTGCACTTTTTTTTGTTGCTTGTTTTATTTATGTACTTGTCTGGTGCAAACTGGGGACTTTAGCACATGTATTCCAGACGGGTTTTACTGCAAATGGCAAAGAAACTGAATCTGAATCTAATGTATACGCGCTAAACTGTTGCACTGCAAAAAAGGGATTAAAATAGAGTCAAAAATTGCTCAAATTTGGCAAAATGTATCTAAAGTTGAACACATTGTGAGTGGCTTAAAACAGGATTTACCGATGGGACAAAGCAAAATGATCTCGTTTTGAAAAGATACAAGAAATATCTCCATTGGAATGAAGATATTAAGCAACAGTTCTTAAAATAAAACTAATTGCTTTGTCAAAATCTTGTCAAAATCTTGTCAGAATGAACTCAAATTAGCTTGATTTAAGCTTATATTTTTCACTTTTCACCATAGTGTGTCATCTCATACTGTTTTTGCGAATAAAAAGCAAAGCAGCGAAGGACGAATGGTCGTTTTAACATTCAAGATGGAGGAGTCCTGTGGCAGCAGTGGGCGTCCGATACCCCCAGCAGTGGTTCATGAGAGGAGATGGAGAAAGCCCTGACGCCATTTGAGCGAGCGAGCACGGGGCAACGTTTTATTTTAGGGCTGTGTGTCACGCTACTACTGGGGGTCTTATTAAGGACGCTTCATCTGGCTCTGTGTGAGGGAGGGAGAGAGGCGGCTTGGGAGCTGTCCAGGACGGGAGGGCATGGTTTAGGGGTGGCTCGGGTCAAGCTTCTGTTGCCTCCAGGGTTGTAGTTCACCTGCCTATAGGGCACGCAGCAGGGTGTGTGATCTGTGCTTAATAGTCTTGTCATTTTTAAAGTACTGGTTGAAGCCCCTCATTGGGATAAGGATAAGATAAAGCGGTTTTGTGCAGTTAGAGACCCTTAAACACTGCAGAAAGTGAGGAAAAATAAGTCAAAAATTGCAAATAATTGAGCACATTTTGACTGCTTTAAAACAGGATATGCCAATGGGACAAGCAAAAGTATCTTGTTTTAAAAAGATACAAGAAATGTCTCGCCTGGAATGAGAAAATAAAGCAACAGTTCTTGAAATTAGACTAAATTGAGTAATTTCGTGGCATTTTGAAATACAGACAAAGCATTGGGCCAATTCAGGACCATGCATGACAGATGACCAGTGTATTTAAGGGAGACACAAATATGTTGTTTTGGGAAATTTGTCTTTCGCTAAATGAATTCCAAAGGCCGAGCAAGATTTTCCTGAGGGCAGCATTTGGCTCGTGGGCCTTGGTTTGGACGTGTCTGCAGTACACCGTGCACATCTGGTGTCTGGCTACTTTTGCTGCACATGCGTAGACGTAGACAGGGCAGGCACGGGAAAAGCCACAGTATTGTTGCAGTGGAGTCTGCTATCACAACGGCTTTGTCACAGTTTTCCACGACAACTCCAAGACGTCGAAATGTACCTGTGACATTGGCAGGATTGGGACGATGGACAATGCTTGTTCTTTAAAAAGTTTGCAAACCCACGGCACAGAGAGCGGGAGTTACATTGTGGGAGTATTGGGCCAGCAGAGGGCAGTAGTTCTCAGGATTTTAAAGGGCGGGGTACTTCCTCTTTGGGCTCGGGGTCTGTTTACTTCTGGGTCTCTCTCACATGTAGCACCTCAGGTTTAGTGGTTGCGTTCAAATCTGTTAATGTCAATTCTACCTTGGACTGTGCTGAGGCTGTTTCTGCCCCTCGACCACAGGAAGTGTCCTGGGCATGCCTCACAGACCCACAGGTCGTTTGGTTCATATCGATTTGGGATTATTCTGATCATTGACAGAATTATGGGTGACAATCCTTTAGTATTTAAAAGTCACTGCTACTATAAGTGCATGTGTCGAGTCATCTAAATCTAATGCTATTGTACAGTCTCTGGTTGGCCCTGGCATTAGGCCTGCTGTAAATATGTGATTATTATGTGTGTTATTGTTATTTTTCTTTCATTATTCTTAGCTATGGATTCTGTGCTTGCATGTGAGTCCTTAATAAAGTCTAAATAAATAGATAAATATGTCTTATTGGGATGGGGACCTTGTCTTTGTCTTGATGTAGAGATCTGTAGCATGTTGTCATTGTGGACTGTACCATATGTGGCCAATTTTGACCTAACTTATTGTGTTTAATGAAAAAAAAAAAATTCCAATAGAATAAAGCCTCAGTCTCATCATGAACGAAGCTGTGTGCTTTGAACTTCATATGAAATAGCGTCGGCGGTGACGTGTTTGTCCCGTTGGCAGTATTTGATATACAACAGCTCTCGGTTTCACTTGTGTATTGGAGGCATGTCGTTTGACTTACGCTCTTTTGAAGGCAGACAAAATATCGGACTGCTCCTCCTGTTGTGCGGCTGTAAGAGGAGAAGTTGCAGAGGGAGCACATTATAAGTGGATCAGATCTAAGCTTCAGAGAGAGTGGAACGTGAAGACCAGCACTCACCCTCCACCGTGATCTCAAAGGTGCAACTATCGCACTTGTCCTTAGCCGTGACCTCACATCTGAAGCCCCCTGCGTCACCCGGAACCACTTTTATAATCTTCATCTCGTAAGTGTAGATCTGCACAACGTGATGACAAAAACATGGGTTAATTAAGGCAGGTATTAGAAGCATGTTACCACCCCCACCTTAGTGTTCCGGTCATAAGTTTCTTTGAACTGCATGTGTTTTCCAGCCTTGCTGCCAAGATCCATCCATTTGCCCTTCAGCCACTTCATGACTGGTTTCCTTGTAAGGGTGGAGGAGTCAACCTTGGCTATGAAGGTCACATCACTTCCTGCATTCATAAACACCACAGCGATGTCTTAATCCAAATGGACGAAACATATGCAGCTCTATTTTTACGATCGGACCGACCTGCGACTGCGACCACATTGTCTGGGGGCCTCTCCACAAAGAGCCCGGTCAGCTCAGTGCTTCCCACCTCTGGAATAAAACATGTGTATTTTAATGGAGATGGATTCGTTCACATGAGTATTAACAAACCAGGCAGAGGTCCCATGAGCCACAAGGCGTCAACATAGAAATATAACAAAGTGCAGAAAACACAGATATATAAATCTTACATATGACAGGAGTGAAAACTCACTACATGTATCTGCCCTGTGCTAATCCATGAGATACATGTGTCACAAATGCAATACAGATATAATGTAAGATGGATGTTAAGGTCTGAAGGTTTAAAGTTCATCTGATACATCATCACTCAGATGAACAGGACTAAGTTTAACACTTTGCATCTGCTGAGAGCTGTGCATCAGCGCTTTCTACATTTACAGGCCTTCAGTTTGCAAGGTGTGAATCTATTCCCTACGGTCAATATTCCATTAGACCTGAGCCATAAATATGCCACATGAGAACACATATGCAGATGTATGCAGACGCAGCCATCTGCATTTCATAACAACATATTTGCATGCACATGGTGATCATAGTTGTGCAGTGACTGCTCCCTCTGCAGGGACAGACCACAGGGACCACTGTGGAAACATATGGAAGTATAAGCTCTGTTTATACTGTGCCATAAGTCACAGAACGCTCTGTTATTCTCAAGAATGAAAGCATCAACACAGGACTGTAACGAATTACACAGTCAGGACTGTAACGCTGTTAAAAGGACACAATTACTGCATCAATGAGTCAAATAGTCTTAAGAAATCACTTTGATTGCTTCTGTTTGATGATTGTTTTATATATATATATATATATATATATATATATATATATATATATATATATATATATATATATATAGTACACACACACCGTATGAAAGCAAAGGCTCAGAGTGGATGATTATCTTATGTGACACTTAAGACACTTAAGCCTCGGGAGCATTTTAGTAAAAGGCGTCCAATGTTATGCATATTAATAATAATAATAATTGTTGTTTTTAACATGACTATTTTGCATTTTCTGTATTGGCTCATGTTCTCCAGAAGAGACAGTGTTTATAATCCTCACACTGGAGGCCCCTGTGGCAGAAACAGCCTCAGAACCATAAGCACCTCTCGCATGGTTACACACATGGTTACACACATGGTTACACACATGGTTACACTGTAACAAGCAGACGGGGCTCAGCTCTGAGTGAAAGGGGAGACCAGAGTGAGGGAGAGACCAGTGATGAGAGGGAAACCTTTTTATGACGCACTGAGCCTTAATCAAAAGAACGGCAAAGCTGCAGAAGTGATTTTCCAAAAGGCCTCTCAGAGATCCAGGTGCGAGCCACTGTTTATAACCACACACTTCACACAGACGTCTCTACGCCTGTTTTACTAAACTCTGCTGCTCTAAAGGCTGTGAACAACAGTGATCTTTAACTGAAAGTCAGACTCAAAAAGCCGTTTAATTGAGGATTGTGCCTGAATGAAAGTTTGCATCCTTCAATTTGCATCCTTAAGCACTCTCCAGGGTCTGACTTTGCAGCACAGACTCAGACCAACACGACAGAAGCCTCGTGTGGGAATCATCTTTCAAAATAGAGTTTCTTGAAAAGCACAGGTTTTTGCATTTATGCATTTGTTCCAGTCCAGATGGCCATGAGTTAGGAGCCATGGAGCCCCCTGTATCTGTTGGAACAAGCACTTTTACATCTGCTTTAATATGTTTCTGTTCAAATAAGACAAACATCTTCATTCTGCAGCCCCCAAAAGCTAGAAACGATATATCTGCTTCTTTATGATGCTAAAGCCAGATATTTTACACTTTCTTTTTTATTATGCTAAAGACTTGCGTCTTTATTTTGCTTAAGCTGGAGATGTAATTTCATTTTAGTATAGAGTAATTATAAATCAAAAATCATTATTAAATTATTACTTATGAATAATTTGTTGTGTTCTCCTCAGATACTGTCTTGTAACCGTTGATAAAAATTATAATCTCTGAACCTTAATCTTACAATATTGTACTTTGCGACTGAACTGACAGAGGTAAACTATAGACCAGTGTTTTTCAACCACTGTGCCGCGGCACACTAGTGTGCCGTATGATATTGTCTGGTGTGCCGTGAGAAATTCGTCTACTTTGTCTAAAAATAGCTGCATTCGCTGTTGACGAGCGGTGACTTGTTTTGAACTGTGAGTAACCATGTAATACTTTTTCAAATCAGTAGATGGCAGCAGATAGCTAAGTACTTTGAAACTGAAAAATTGGATGCGACCACTGGCTGTAACAGGTCAGCATTGTGGCGAGAAAGGTAAAATTGGATGCGACCAACAAATGTGTGAGGGAGCGAGACAAGAGCTTTGTGGCGAGTGAGAAGTGAAAGTGATAGAGACGTTTTTGAAAATGAATTATGCCGTTTCTGAACAGGATTAACATCCTCCGCTCTGCCCCGGGGCAGCTGTGGCCGCGTTGTAGTGGTTTAACTATGAAATGTACAATTTTTGTACAACAGCTCTCGCGAACGCACTTCTGAACTGGGTACCGAGCGCAGACCGTAGTCGAGTGGACAGAACCATAGACATGCGGACCGGACAGAACCATGGACTCGCGTTCAGGACCTCCCGTGTCCCTCATCCAAAACTCCTGAATTTAAAGCTCGGATACCAAAATGTTTCCCATGCACTAACAATGCATGTTCTTTGTGTGGGTTATTATTTGACTATTTGGGCAGAGAGTGGATTTTCTTAGTTTTTTTTCCACACAGTTAGTGCCACTTTATTCCCAAACTCTTGTTAATTGTATCGAGAAATATTAAATAAAGCTTAATGTCAAGGCCTGGACTTAAGCATTTTGATGAGAATAACTGTATATTGTGAATATAGGCTACAGAGTATACTGTATACATTATAAGATAAGATATACTTTATATATCACACAGAGTATGTACAGTATATATTTTTTTATATTAGTACTGTATACATTTTTACATTTTCTCCTGGAGGTGTGCCGCAAGATTTTTTCAGTGAAAAAAGTGTGCCTTGGCTCAAAAAAGGTTGAAAAACACTGCTATAGACAGCCCTAATGTGTGGAGAGCTGGGGCGGCACTAGAGATTTTTAGGAGGCCCTATAAACGTGTCATCGAGTCACAGAAGCCGATTTGTTTAACGCAGCAGCTGCTTTTGTTTCTGGATCGCGTCTGACTGACCCCAGCTGTGTTGTGTCTCTCTCGGGCGTGAAGCACCAGGAGAACACACACAGATCGGGCCCAACAGTGATTCAAAGGCAACACAACAGTCTGACGGGATCTGTTACAATTGTTTCTATAAAACACACACTTTTAAAAGGGGCCGGACAGGTGACGAGGCAAAGATAGATCCCATGAATATAACATTTCCAAGGCCATGGCTATGTTTTCCTGCCAAGCCATTACAAGGATTCTGTTATGCCTCTCTGCATTTTACAGTAACACACTCTTGGAATACTGCAGCATTTTTGGACCGTCCAGATCACAGGTGTCCAAGTCAAGGCCCAGGGGCCAGATCCGGCCCGCGAGACCATTTCAAGTGGCCCTTGAGATGATTTTAAATTATTATATTAAATAGCAGCATAAGTGGCAATAGTCGACAATGGCATATCATAGTACCCATTACTAAACATACAACCATAACATTTAATTCCATAAGAAATAAAGGATTCCCCAATTTTCTTAGGAAAGAACCGCGCTCTCCACAAAACTTTCTGGTCTTATTTGACGAGCATGAATAACCAGAATGATTGACAATTGGGAGGAGCAATAGTCTTGAGGATCCACCCAAAAGTAGAAAATCTTCCAATATACCTTCAATAGTTGGTCCAGTTTTGGTTCAGTCCACAGGAACTGAACTAATTATAATCAGAAAAGAATGTCTTACATAACTAGTGTGAAAAGTCATTTATTTCGATACCTTTATATTAAAAAAAAAATGTAGAAAATGAAACCCACTTATTCGGCCCTCAACCAAAATAAGTGTGACACCCCTGGTCTAGATCATCTACGACACCATCTGCAGCGGTCCAATGTTTCAAAAGAAGCATTCAAAGTGATTTCTTGGCCACATTGTGAGACATTTCAGCTTTTACGCATAACAATAACACATGTTACAGACACCCACTGGACATACTTTTGAAGAGCAAAAGTAAAACAGTCAAATCTGAGGTCAAATAACTTCAGAATATGTCTCCTTTTCTTACCACCGTCTTCCAGATCTGTTGTGTGGATGAAGCAGATAGACAGACATGACTTACCGGCACAAATGCAACATTCAGGCAGAACTCGGAGCCGGATGTGGCACTAGAGTTCCAGACCGAGGAGACGCAGTGACGCTAAGTACAAATACACTATCCACGATCAATATATAGTTTATTTTAATGAGACTAATATCATTTTGCATGGACTCAAAACTAGCTAAATTGCTAATAACGACTGATAAAATCTACTGCTTTTGATTGATTTTAAGTAGAAAGGAAAAAGGTTAAAGGAGCAGCAGTGTGTCAGAGCAAGAAGATCCTGGGTTTGATTCCACCTCCAGGCCTTTCGGTGTGGAGTTTGCATGTTCTACCTGTGCTTGTTGGAACCTCGGGGGACCGAGCTTTTGCCATCTCTGCCCCACTCTCTGGAACTCTCTCCCCCCTCATCTCAGAAACTCGGACTCACTAAACTCCTTCAAAAAACACCTCCAAGTATATGACTCTTAGTTTCAACTTTATACTGTTCTTTCCTGCTTTTAGATTTTTTGTTTTGTGTGTCTGTCTCAACGTGTGTGTGTGTCTTGAATTGTGAAGCGTCTTTGAGTTTTTGAAAAGCGCTGTATAAAACCAATGTATTATTATATATATATATTTATTATAATCATTATTATTATTATGTGGGTTTTCTCCAGGTGCTCCGGTTTCTTATCCTTGAACCAAGTGTAAATATAGCTCCAGATTTGTATTCTATTATGTTATTTTTTTTATTATTCTATTACCTTCAATGTAGTTGTTTTTGATGCCTTTTCTTTTTTTTTTTCCCGTGCACCCTCCCTTCCTGCCATCTTCCCCCCACCCTCTGAGTTGTCCTGCTGCAGGTTTTACCCAAAACTACTACCAGTATTTGTACCCATGTATAGGTACATGGCCAAACATATGTACTTTCCTTTTTAAGTTTTGGAAAGAAAGAAAGAAAGAAAGATCAATCAAATTTGGAAATCTGATTGCTCTTATTCTTCCCGTTTTTTCTCTTTTGACGGTTTGCCTCTTCGCCTTTGCCTTTTCTTAAAAACCTAGAAAGTCTATTTAGCAGAATGTTGCGCGTCTCCTTTAAGAGCTTTAGTGCCACATCTCAGCCCATAGTTGTCCAAGCATATAACCATGCAGAGGATAAACAAGAAGAGCACAGATGATTCTAAGAAAACACATTTCTTACAAATAACGTGGAAACAGTTCAGAGCTAGAATACGCAGAACAGAACTCGGTTGTCTATTTCGTGCATCATTAGAGATCGTGGCAAACTGTACCATTCTCCAATACGTTCTAAAGTTCTAGATAAGTCCTTCTCCTGAATCATGCCAGTGCTACTAAAAAGCATGGAGCCAGAGAGCATGATGGGCCTTACCTCCGTCTGCAGGGGGCGCATCTACGAACAGGGGATGGAGTTAGCATGCTAATTTAGCCACTATGTTCTGATTAGAATTAAAAAGTAATTGTTAGAATTGACAAATGTTTAGATGATGCTCAAAATCGTTAAAACTCATTCGAAAATCGTCTTCTTTTAGGACTTCAGATGCTCCACAACAATCGTTTTATGCCCGTCACAACTTATTAAACCACAACATCCAAGGATAGTGTCTCGACATTATGGAAAAACACATAATGTGTGTCATGCCGAGATCAAATTCATCTGCACCACATACACCGGCATTCAACCAATCCTCGAAATACCCACAAAACAAGAAAGTAAAGTGGGGCAATAATCAAGACAGATTTAGTAAGACATTATATAAGACCGGTCGTCCCTCACCGTCTGAAGGGTACTCTTCTGGGGATGGAAATAGTAAATGAGTCCTAGTTAGTCTCAGAAATACTTTGTCTGAAATCTTCCATGACTTTTTATTCAGGAACTTGACACATTGTTTGAGCAAAAGTGAAAATGTGCGAGCAGTTGTCAAGCCTGTGCGTGTTTGTGTGAGGGTCGAGGTTCACTTACCACCCCCCTCCGGTTTGTCTGCAACACAAACACAACACACAGAGTTAGAGGCACCGCACATCGACACAGTCACAGCCGGCAGCGGGTCTGTCTGTTCACATGGATTATTGAGACACTGATTCAATATCAAACTCAACTTTGAAGTTGTGTTGGTGAGTGACCACTGACCTAAACCCAGATCAACATATTATTACATAAGTCAAGTGGACAGTGTTAAAGATGCTGTATAACGTTATCCTAATGTTAAAGCTCCTTCCAGTAGGGGCGGGTACATGCTTGCAATCCCACTCCGGGCTGGTGGGGTGCACCCGGAAACAGAATTACCCAATACCAATGACAATCCAAACACAAAGGCTCCTTTTACAGCATCTTTTCACAATGTGTAACATTCGGAGAGGTCATGTCCACGACTGCTTTCATTCAGTTTACGTAAACTAATTGTCTGAATTTGGTCATTAGGAAAGTATTGGTCTAGTCCTGTATTTAGCCTGGAAAGAAACGCCCCGCTGTAATTGTTGCAAAGCAAAAGTGGTTGAAGTGAATTGAAATAGAGCAGATGGTTCCCCAGGGTCAGAGCAGTTGATACTAAAGGCCAGAGGCCGGATCTCATGTCTTCCCTGAAGGCGTGCCACATTCTCTCAGTTAAACGCTGCTTCCTTGAATAGTCACATCACCTTCATCTTTTCCCAAAACAAGGCTTTGCATCAAGAGGCTGTGTGTAAAATGTATATATTGAATAATAAATATTATATTTATTATTATTACTGTTTTTGAATGGAGTGTTCAGGTCACAACAGACTGAAGTCCCTGTGCCATGTGTGAGTATACCATACATATAAAATAGACATAGTATAGATACAGTATAAATATAGATAGAGTATAGATATAGAACAGACATGGTATCAATAGATAGGCTTGAACTTTTATTTTAATGTTTTTTTAGTAACCTGCACTTGGGTTAGGGTATATTATTATATTATTTATAAGTTATATGATTGTATTGTCAAGCACCACAGGTGGAAAGTAGCATGGTGCTAAATCTGGTGCATCTTCTTAATTGTCCTTTATAAATCAAACTTTATCTATTCATATAGAATAGATAAAGTATAGACATAGTATAGACATAGTGTAGCTATAGATGTGGAAAACCTGGTAAAGTCTGACGCATCATTGTTTATTTACTTTTGAGAGATATAAATCAGCCTCAATCAACAGAGCGCTGTTACGTGACCTGCTCCTGCTGCAGAAAGATGAAATGCTAAACTCACTACATGCTATCAATCACTCACATGAGGTTTCAGTTTCAGTAAACTTTCATTTTCAAAACCGTTTTTAAAAGTTCCCATATTTCCTCCCTCTTCCACCTGGACATATGTTCGTGCTGTGTTACAGTAGAAATCTTCCCCAGTGTTTTTACAGTCTGCATTAAACAAATATAAGAACATGTTGACCAGAGATATAGAGATCATTTGCGGTTGATACAGTATAAGGACAGTCTATATCTGTTTGGCCTCGTGTTTCATTTAGAGTCATCGCGGTGACATCAGCAGCCGCCGCTAACAGGAAGCTCATGGAGCAACAGAAACGTCTGAGGCTGTACTTGAATGTGAAATCTTTCTATGAACTCATCTGTAGGAGTTTGGTCTACAGCACAAAAAGAGCAAGTATTAGTGTTATTTTTACAGTATAATGTGGTGGATATAGGTCACTAACATGAATACTGTTTAAAGGGCGTGTCTGTGAGTTCGGAAAATAGGAAGCAAGAGAGAGCGCTTTTCTAAAAATATAGCCCCGCCCTCCTCTCGCCCCATTGGTCAAGAGAATGTAGAATGGTGTGACTGCGATAAGACCAGGGGCTTTATAGTAACAGAAACATAATCGGTCTGTTTATCTTGGGAGCAAAACATTTTAACTTGACTAATTTTAACATTTTCTTTCTTTTTATATTTGTCCTGGATCACGTGCCTGCGTACGTGTGCTCAATGCAGTCTAAATATTGATAATAAACAAACACATATGTTGTTCTTCAGTTCCATCATCTTCTGTTGTGAGGTCAAGAGATTATAAAAAGCTATAAAAAGTCATGCGTTACTAAAAACAAGACGTTTGGTATGACCGCATGGCTCAGGTTTCTGACCCGGCCGGGATTTAAGGAATGGGTCAAAGGGTGAAGAAGGGTGTGACGGTGCAGGACGGTCCCGGGGATATTTTTAGACCAGATTCAACATTAATCTTCATCCGCTCAAAACTGTGTCAGATGTGTGTTGAAATTAATATTAAAGTGTGTATCATTATCAAGCTAAGGTCAGAGATTTATACTTAATTTTTGCTTCTTGATTATGCTAAAGCTAGAGATTTTTTACTAGCTTCTTTATTATGCTAGAGATTTTTTACTAGCTTCTTTATTATGCTAAAGATTTTATACTAGCTTCTTATTATGCTAAAGCTAGAGATTTTAGACTAGCTTCTTTATTATGCTAAAGATTTAATACTTGCTTCTTTATTATGCTAAAGCTAGAGATTTTACACTAGCTTCTTTATTATGCTAAAGCTAGAGACTTTATACTAGCTTCTGTATTATGCTAAAGCTAGAGATTTTAGGCTAGCTTCTTTATTATGCTAAAGCTAGAGATTTTGGACTAGCTTAATTATTATGCTAAAGCTAGAGATTTTAGACTAGCTTAATTATTATGCTAAAGCTAGAGATTTCATACTAGCTTCTGTATTATGCTAAAGCTAGAGATTTTAGACTTGCTTCCTTATGCTAAAGCTAGAGATTGTATATTTTCTTACTATAAAGTTAGAGTTATTTTTGTTTTATTTTACTGCTGTGTCCTCCTCATCCCTACTGTTCTGTAACCGCTGATGCAAACACTGACATTACCCCACCGTGCGACGAAAACAAACGATCCCTTCATCTCACTACAAACTTGCAGATTGGATTTATTAGGTTGACATTGCACTGAAATGTCACCTGTGCTTCCAACGCATCCAGATAGAGCTAAGAATAGCCTGGACTTATTTCATCCACCCCGTCGTATCGCCCCAGTCTGCCTCAGTCTGAAACATGAGGCAGCGTCTTCACATAGCCCACATGCATCCTGCCCCTCCAGCGTTTTCTTTTTCTTTTTGTGAAAACACTGACCCCGGTGATGTCACGGCTGGACGCTGCGGCCACGGTCTATTTCCAGCCACTTAAACTACATCTAAAACTACATCTAAGCCTGCATGTATAAACCGTACTATGCCACAAACAAATCCCTCAATGCTCATGTATAAAGATCCCCCCAGTCTCCATAGCTGGCAGTAAATCACGTTAGACATATATTGGATAGTTTAACTTTTGAAATCTATCTTCAGTTTAGGCAGCTATGTGTAAGCTTGGAACTGCAGTGTCAACACTACAAATCAATTATCAAAAGTTTACAAGTGGTTGGCAGTTAAAGAGCATCAGATTTTGTTTTGTTTTTGGGTGAGAATTTGACCGACATTGCATTAAAAAGAAGTTAAAAGGGCAAAGAAAGACGAAAGGAGATTGCAGTGACACATTGTTAATATTCTCAAATCCTTGCCTCCACAAAGAAATCCCCAGATTAATTAAATGTAATGATTCCTGATAATAACATTGCGTTTCGTACCTGCAGGGACGGGCTCAGGCATGGTTGGGTTATTCCTGTGTCTCCTCTGTGCTGCTTGAGACTGGGGGCTTCAGGGGGCTCCTAAATCCTTTTATTTAGGACCCTCTCTCTGCTTCTTCCAGAGCTCTCCTGGCAAATCACGTCTCACACACACCCTCTGCTGACGACACAGGTCATCCGGGGGGGACCCTCTGCTCTGCTGGGGGGCCCCGGGGGCGTGAGGATACGTACAGGACCGGCAACACCTCCAGATGGGATCGGTCAGTGCAAACATGATAATCTCTCAGGTTTATCACACATTTCAGATTTCCGACACTTTATCTGGTCAGACGTGTCCGGCGATTATCACCGATCTACTGTTTGAATTAAAGGGCACTTAATAATTTCTGCTTTGGCTAGTTGCTTTGGTTTCACTTGGCGCTGTCTGAGAAGAAGTGTGATATGTTCATTATGTGCGACTGTAAATAGAGTCTGATTTGTGGCAGTCACGCTGGTAAACAGTTAAATTACTGCGATATTTTTAATGTTCCTTGAGCTATTATTATACTGAATTGTTTACGCAAATGACCAAATATGGAGCTGGAAGCAGTGGCTATTTTCTCATCAACGACACAGTTTTTAAAGGCAAGGCACGGCAAGTTTATATGTATAGCACGATTCATACACAACTCAAAGTGCTGAACAAAAAAAGACTGGGCGGGATGGAGACTGAGCGGGACAGTGGCTTAGTGGCAAGAAGGTCCTGCGTTCGAATCCCGGCCCTGCTTTCCCCTACCACAAAAAACATGTACAATAGGTCTGGTATTCGCCTCCTGTACTGGCAACCCGCTCCCATCTCTGTGTGGAGTGAGACACAGCGCCTTGTGACTCTGGTCTGTAAAAGGCGCAGTATAAATAAAGATTACTCACTTACTTTAATGAATAACCATATAACCAATAAACTAATAATGAAAATACAAAATAAACAAACATGAATTTCTCCTTAAACTTACATTTAAGTAAGTAAGTAAGCAATGTTTATTTATATAGCGCATTTTACAGACCAAGGTCACCCAAAGCGCTTTAGAATGTTCAGAGTTCAGATATTGTTCCAATCATTCCACACACGGTGACGACGGAAGCGAGTCCCGAACACTCAGCCCCCAATCAACACCATTCATTCTCTCATTTACATTCATAACTATTGACACGGGGGGAACATGCAAACTCCACTCAGAAAGGCCCTGCTCCAACCGGGATTCGAACCCAGGACCTTCTTGCTGAATGCCATCCACTCAGCCACCGTGCCGCCCATTTAAGTAAGTTTAAGGAGACATTCCTTAAACTTATTATTAGTGTGATTTCCTGTGTTTTACATTCATGATTAGTGTGTTTTATGGTGTATTGTACGATTATCTCCTTGTTTTGTTTCTAACTTTGTGCTTGTCATGTATTTTTATCTTATTTTTTCAACTGTTTGTCCATTTCTAGGGACAAGGCTGAAAATGATCTCCGGCTATAGAGACCAGGATGCATTCATCAGATTGCTGTATGAAAGATACATGTGTGTGTTTTCTGTATCTGTCTTTTCTCAAATAAACCGAATAATTATAATAATAATTAAAAAATACACTTTATTGATTTTAGTAGCACCATGTAATCTTCAAAGTATATTTCTAAATCACCAAAAATCATGTATTTTTAAAATGAGTATAGGTAATATTTTTATTTTAAATCATATCTACTTCTTTTATATGTGTCCCCAGATGCAAGTCACATGATGTACACACCAGCGTTTAACCATTTATAAATGAGTATGAATATTGTTTATTTAAAATACAAAATGGACATTCTTTTTATAATTTGTATGTTCACAGATGATCCAGTAGTGACCATTTGGGTTGTCAGTTTGTTACGTAAATGTAGCTATTTTTGCTCTATTTTTATCTGATTTTCATCCATTTAAATTCTAAAAAGCACCACAAATGTGTTTGAATGAAAGCAGATACGTTTGTCCGTCTATGTCCGGTCTGTCGTGAGTTTAAATGATGCCTGTTTGATTTTTGTTGGGTGCAAAGGATTCATTTTTGTTTATTGTCATTTCCATTGTCACTTAAACTTGCCACACCGTCGTCCCCTGACCTCTCTGCGGCTTATGACGGTTCCCTCTTCTCTTTTTTATTTCTTTTTTTTATTACTTGTACACAAACCAAAAGTGAACAACAGGTAACCCTCCCACCCAACCCAAATAAACAAATACATTCACACCAGCATTCTCACAACTAATCTATTACTTATTAAAATGAACTGTTCTTAATATTAATCTTAATATTCCAAAATTTAGCATTTACCAAAAATAAAACAAAAAATAAACCAATCACAAAATTGAAATCCACAAAAATAAATAAAACTAGGAAAAGAAACCAAAAGGTACAATATAATAATAATGCTAAAAAGGAAGAATTATACTTATACATAAACACACATACACCTACATATATATATAGGCAAGGCAAGGCAAGGCAAGGCAAGTTTATTTATATAGCACAATTCATACACAAGGCAATTCAAAGTGCTGAACAGAACAAGAAAGCATTAAAATCATAAATAATCACAGTACATTAAAAAAAAGATAAAAATATAAAATCCCTCAGTTGTATACACAGCTAAACAGAACTGTTTTCAACCTTGTCTTAAACATTGTCAGAGAGGAGGCCTGTCTCACATCTTCAGGAAGACTGTTCCAGATTTTCGCAGCATGAATCTGAAAAGCAGCCTCCCCATGTTTAGTTCTGACTCTGGGCACAAACAGGAGTCCAGTCCCTGTGCTCCTCAGAGTCCGGGCTGGTTCATATGGGACTAACATGTCACTAATATAGTTTGGTGCGAGGCCATGGAGAGATTTGTACACAAGCAGAGCTGTTTTAAAGTCTATTCTCTGAGCCACAGGAAGCCAGTGCAGAGACCTGAGGACCGGACTAATGTGGTCGTACTTCCTGGTTCTAGTCAGGACTCGAGCTGCTGCATTTTGAATGTACTGCAGCTATTTTACAGCCTGTTTGGACAGACCTGTGAGCAGGCCATTGCAGTAGTCTAACCTACTGGAGACAAATGCATGGATAAGAATCTCCAAGTCTGCTTTAGACACTATGTTTTTGATCCTGGCAATGTTTTTTAGATGGTAAAAAAGCTGCTGATGTTACTGATTTGATGTGGCTATTAAAATTTAAGTCTGAGTCCAGTATTACCCCTAGATTTCTGACCTTGTTTGAAGGTTTTAGGGAGAGAGACTGTAGGTGACAGATGACGCTCTCTCTTTGTTTCTGGGGACCAAAGACAATCATTTCAGTTTTGTCTGCGTTTAGCTGAAGGAAGTTGTTTTGCATCCACTCACTGATCTGTTGGATACAGTGAAGGAGTGAGTCCACTGGTCCATGTTCTCCTGCAGTCAGTGAGACATAGATCTGAGTGTCGTCTGCATAGTTGTGATAGGACACTTTGTTTCTGCGTATTAACTGACCTAACGGCAGCATGTAGAGATTGAACAGAAGAGGTCCCAGGATCGACCATACTCGGCGAACACACTCGAAGCTGTTGCATAAGGTCACGGAGCAGACAACCATATTTTCACCAAGCAAACAGTCCCCCATTGTCAAACCCTGTTTGAGTGTTCTGGTGAATGCCTGGTGTGGTCCTGTTATGGGCTGGTTTAACAGTATTTTTTCAGTCTGCTCGCTCTAGTCCGCTAATGTCTCCCAGTGACCACTTTGCTGCTCTCTATAGGGTTGTTGCAGGGCGAACGTCCCATGGAAAGGATACAAATCTAATCTCCAGTGGGGTCAATTTTTCGCTCGTAGCTTCTTCGCCCTTTTCACTTCCGCCAAGTCCGTTCGTCATCTATTGACAGTCTCCGTTTGTGCAACGAGAGGTTCCGTGCGTTGTGACGTCGAACCGCGTCACATAGACGTGGCATTGAAACCGACGCAGCATGATCCGGTCTGAAAGCACCATTACTCCAGCTCATCTGGGGGAATCTCGAGCAATTCCCGAGCCAGCTGAGAGATATAGTCCCTTCAGCGTGTCCTAACCCTAACCACTGTCCACCAGGTATGACCACAGGTGACCATAGAATGTTTTATAAAAATTTGATATTCTTTAAAGACCATATTGAGATTCTTTTCCTCGATCATGAGGTGAGAATCACTGACTGTTTATGTAACAGTGTTTAGCTTTTTTTGATCAAACTCTAGTGGCAATTAATTGGACTAAACTGAATCTGGACTAAAAGTAAGGAAACGGCTTGTTATTGGCAAGACACACCTAATATGATTTTCATGAGGTTAATTATCTTTAAAAGACAGTAAATAAACTCCTAAAAATTTGATATTCTTTCTTTCACGTATTCCTCTCCCAAGCTCATACGGTTTTTTTAAAGTTTGGTATAAAACGTTTTGAAAGGAAATTAATTTGAAAATGGAGGTAACTCTGGAATTGAACACTACAAAAATAGGGAAAAATTAACTTTGAGAACCACAGATTAAACAGAACATGTTTATTTTTCTTCTTAAATGATTGACATGAAGAATTCCACTGCGACCTGAATTGTCACAATCATCCATGAACCTATTCTTCATTCATTTTTCACACTCCAAATATATAAGGACCATAAACATAAACGACCAAGACTTCTGAGGAACGAGAACTCACCTCAAGTCAAATAAAACCAGTGTATTTTATCATGAGGTCACAACGACAATCTATATCTCTACCTTCAATTGTGCCGTGATTTCTTTGGTTAAACATAAAACTATAATAGACACACATTTGTCAGTAGCCTGGATAATGTCCATCAGTTCTAGCTTGGCCTTCGTCCTCTGTAAACTCTGATTATCATTTCCTACATGTACGAAATGAAATGAGTACGATGGTATGGTAGGACCAGGCCATGTCAGCTGCTGTTGAGTTTCTCTGAGTGTGTCTTTGGTGGAGGTTGAACGACTGCAGAAGGATCCATGCAGTAAACTAACACTGGTGCATGTGGAA